CCCATGGATTGGCAGTACAGGGTCCTCTATTTCTTCAATGAAATTAGAGACAAAAACCAACGGGAAGACGAAGGAATAAGGTTTTAAGACTGTTGGGTATCCGTTGGTAAAACCGAATAATAATCCAACAAAAATAAGGATTATTATTTTCTGTAGTAAAGGGAAGGAAAGATGAAGATATAAGCTCGTGTTTGGTGTAGGGTTTTTAGCAAGAGTCAAGCGATCATCTTTCCTTAAAACCTTATTTGCTACCTCACACAAGTGCTAGGAGCGTTGTAGCATAGGCTTCCCAGGATAAAACTTGCTATGATCCAATGTTTGAGCACCCAAACAAGAAATCCAGCGAACTAGAGCAACATTTTGAACACAATTCGGCTAAGAAAGAGTAGAAGCAGAGAGTTTTTTGGAGCTAGAAAACGTGTAAGTATGTGAACTTGTTAAAAAGCTTCTGCTCTACCCCTTCTTATATAGGGATGTGAACTTGTTGTTTATAAAAAAACTTCTGCTCTACCCCTTCTTATATAGGGTTGAAGGATAAAATAACTTTTAATAAGGCACTTAAAATCCCAACGGTCACATCAAAACATGTTAGGTGCCGACGCACATTTCATGTGCTTGAATCAAGCCTTTGCACTCTTATTTTGAGATTTGATTTGCACCCCCTGCACACAAAAGAAAGCCTCTATGCTATACAATTCAATGAGCCTTAAAAGAGTTGTTGTATAAATAGTGGGGCAAATCTTCTTCCCAAACCAATGTGGGACAAAAACTTCACTTTTTCCCTTCATTTTCCAACTCAAATGGGTCTACTTTGAGAATCAATATCTCATTCACCCATTATCCATTTTGAGCATACAATATATCAATCACTTCATCTCACTACGAAGAACCCGAATCCACTTTGATCCGACCCAAATTGAAAGTGAACCCCACTGATAATTGTACCACAAAATAGTCACTTAACATGCCATTTTAAGCTATTTTTTCCAACATGAGATGCCATGGCATTGCTCATCAAATATATCTATGAAACTAATATGAAGCTAAGAGAATGAGCAATGAAACAACTGATGAGGTTGTATTGGACGAGTTAAATGACATTAATGCCAAATGATTTGCTCTTGCAATTCACTTTAAGAATTTCCTTGATTTGTGTTACCTAGTCGTTTTGCTATTTTTAGTTGTTTAGTTTTCAATTTTTTTAGATACATCTATGAGGTGGGAATGAAACCTATAGCGATTTATTTAAAAATTATGAAAGTATGTTGCTTGAATATAAGGTTTTAAAGAATTGACAAATAAAAAGTACTATCTAATATGTTATTTTGTTAGGGATTGATACTATTGAAGATTTAATTTCACCATCTTCTTTATCAGTTGTACACTGCTAAAGGTGAGACATTGCCTTAGCTTCTTTGTATAGATGAACAAATATGGTTGACATGGCAATCATGGAGATTTTTAAAATTAAAATGCATTCAAAATGTCTATTTATTTATTTTGATTCCAATTTCGATTACTGTTCAATATCAAACAAAGAGACAACATATTCTAATTACTAAGTATAGTATTTGTTTCTCATTCCAATTTCAATGCCAATATTCCAACCACACACCCTCTAGTTTTCACTACTGGAAATTCTGAAATTTCCGACCACCTGAAAGTGATCTTAAATCAAGTTGAAAGCCTTGTTCCGACCACTTTTGGTATCCGGAAAAACTCTTGTTGCTATTTCCGACCACTTTTTACTTTCAACTTGATTCAAGATCACTTTCAGGTGGTCGGAAATTCAATAATTTCCAGTAGTGTTTCTTAGTTTTATGAATCATATTCTCAAGTGACCTAAACTTTCTCACACAGTAACAAGTTTTCCACCTCTTAAATTCGTTGTCAAGAAAGTATAGACTTTCCTAATTAGTGATCTCTAAATGTTAATTAACATAGAATCACAATTGTGATTATTTTAACAATCTGAAATACACATGAACTCACTTAAGACATGCCACAATAATTAGGGGGCAGGGGGAGGAGGGGGAACTTCACAAATAATGAAATAAGAAATTATATGTATGTGTTAATTTGAAAGTTTGAAAGCATGAATGAAACTGAAAGAGCAACGAAGCATACATACATACCTAACTGCAGCCTTTGACAGTTTGACACAATGGAGTATTTTTCGCCAAGCTAAGGTTTATTTGGCATTTGGTTGCTTTTTATACATAAGAAATGGTTGGATTTCATGAAGGTGTTGAAGTTTTTTTGCTTAATTTATAGCACAGATTCGCCAGGCTAGCTAGCTTTAGTTAATTGCGAGCGTGACCAGTTTGACCTTCCATGTTATACGCCATGTGTATTAAATTATGATAACATTTTCAAATTTTTTGCTCACATATTTGCCAGGCTAGCTTTAGTTAATTGCTCACCAGTTTGACCTTCCATGTTTTACGCCATGCATGTGTGTTAAATTATGATAACATTTTCAAATTTTGTATTGCCACGTTGAAGGGTCTTCATATGTGAAATTCCTAATATGATTGACAACGTGGCTTTCATCCGTAATCAGATTCCCTAGCTAGCTCGTCTCTTAGCGATTTTATTCTCGATCCCCCTTTCTTCATTGCTGTTGCATCATGGTAGAATCGAGTATTCCGATCATCTGAAACAATCTAATCCTCACGGGAACGTTGGAACCATAGAAGTTCCTCCCGGATAATATATAATTAATTTTAAGCATTTCATATATATAAGGAAAATGTTATTTACCCCTATATATGCCATTCACAAACTTGCCAAATGTGTAAGTTTTAATATTTTTTTTTTTTTTAATCTCAACCAATTAAAACTTGTCACATTACGGAGCAACAAGTTTTTGAATAGTAACGTTGGGATAGTGGCATGGTTCTGTGATCTCTATTTAACCAACTTAGATGACTTAGTTATCGTGCATTTTCATTTTTAAAAAAGATTAAGAATTCAAAATCTCATTTCATATGAGAAAATCAATATAATCAGCACAAAAGAAATAGGTATTTATTTATTTAACTTGTATAAGATAGTCTCATATAAAATGTATATTGTACAGCTAGTGCAATATCCTATTTTGAGTGGTAGAAAATCAAGAAAGAATTTGGGAATGCAATGGCGCCATGGAGGAAGCGTGTTAGTTGACGACAAGTCGACAATAGCGTGGACTTAGCAATTGACTACATGTGCGTGTTTATAGGCAAATTATACTCTGCATTTGCATTAGGGCGCATAATGCATTATGTGTCATATCTTAAAACGATGTCGTTTTGTATCTTTTAATTAGTGATTTTTTTTTTTTTTGAAATTCCGTCTCTCATTTTTATCGTAAAATTTCTTATTCTGTATATACAGAATTATATAGTAAAATACACATATAATCAAACATAATACATAATAGATATAATCAAACATAATACATAATACACATAAACTCTTAACATAATACAAATCAACACAAGTGTTTAAAAAAAAAAAAAAACTGTAACGGGATTGACGGACTAAACGGTGTTCGTCGCGTCAACTCCCCACCAATTTATAGATACGTCATCGTTTTCGGCCACACCCCACGATATAACAATCTGTGTTTATAGGATTATGTATGCCGTGAAACTGTGTCCACCTTACAAGGTGGGCACACAGTTCTATGTTTATAATTACTGAACTATGTATTCATAATTATAAAACTCTATGTTCATATTTTTTTAACTTCACATTCACAATTATTGAACCCTATATTCACAATCATTGAACTCTATGTTCATAATTTTTGAACTTCATATTCACAATTATTGAACTCTATATTCACAATTACAGAATTCTATGTTCATAATTATAAAACTCTATATTCATAATCTTTGAATTCTATATTTACAATTATGAACAGTTTTGGAACAATGTCCACTTTGTAAGGTGAACACAGTTCCACAACATAATTTGTAGTGTGTTATAGTGTGGACTTTTTCGTTTGGGCTGGGTACGTGAACTACCAGGAACTTCAGTATATCAAGACTATCTCAAACTCAAAACATCAAATTCTACAATAAAAGGAATATTCTTAACATATTTTTACACCATTTTTTTTTTTCATCTTCAACCCATTTACACCAAATTTTGTACTAAATTTTATATAATCTCCAATCCATTTACACCAAATTCTATTCATACACTAAGATAATTTATATTTCTTATAATTTAAAATTTTAATTTATTTACTTTAATTATTTTAATATAAAATATAATTTTGATATAAATATAAATAATAATATTTTAAATTTGAATTAGTATTTTTAGTACAAAGACTATGTGGTCTAATGGTATCTTGGTTGGACTTTCATTTGGAAGATTGTAAGTTCAAGCTTCAGTGTTGAGGTGTTATTAGTTCTTTGTGAGTAGCATTCAAAAAAAAATTAGTATTTTTAGTTTTTTTTTTTGTTAATATTAATGTTTTGGATATCATTATATTATGATCAAATATTATGATTTTTTATTTTTATATTTTTAAAACATTTATTTCAATTGTCCTCAAAAAAAAATTTATTTCAATTATATAATTATATATAATCAAACATCAATATTGTTATTTTCAAAAAAAAAAAAAACATCAATATTGTTAATAATTTCAATACCCAAATATACAAAATAATTTCATCAAAATCTATTATCATTGTATTTAATTCTCATTTCGATTCCAATTCATATATACAAACCAAAACACACCCTATGATTACCGAAAAATTGTAAATGAATTTTACCCTATAATGTCAAGCACTTTGTGCTCAAATGACATGTAGTAATTTTTTTTATGTGGGAGGTTGTGAGATCAAATCTTAGTGGAAGCGTGCTTAAGTTGAAAAAATATATTTGAACACATATTATAATGTAATAGAGTTAGTAACATAAAAAAAAAAAAAAAAAAAAAAGAATTTTACCCTATGATTACCTAAAAGATCTGTAAATGAATTTTCTTCTTTTGATTCCTTAAACCCTTGCATATAAAAAGTAAAAACCCCCCCTTCTGATTCCGGCATCACAATCAATCTCAGAAAATGGCCCTGAGACGATTAACCTCCGTTCGGAACCTCCAACGATGCCTTTATCGAGCAACTGAAATTCGATCGGTTTCTTCTTCCTTGTATGCTCATTTCTATTCCCATTATTATACATTTTATACACATTTAGTAATAGGAGTGTCTGCGTTACACACATAAACCCAAATATATTCTTCTTTCGTTTCTTTGGAAGCTTTCGTTTGGGTTTCTATTTTGTTGATTTTTTATTTTATTTTATTTTATTTTTTGTGGTTTTTTATTTCACAGGCTCAACAGCAGCTCAAGAAATTCGCCTGACATTTTTTGTGGTAACTTGGATTTGCTTTAGTAGACGTGAGATTGTATTCTTAATTAATTTTTCTAGCCTTTCACATTTGAAATTTAAGGAAAGGTTTTCTCCTTTTTACAAGGAAAGCTGAATTATCAATTTTACAGACTCTATACACAACCTCAAGAATCAAGAGAAGGGGGGGGGGGGGGGGGGGGGGGGGTTGGTGGTTATAGTGGTAAGCCAAATAATAAATCAAATGAGGCTCAGTGGACCCACCAATGCATTTTACATTTCCCTTTATGTGAAGAGGTGATCAAGTTTTATGTGTAGTTAGGGTCTATCCAATTCAATAAAAGGTTTGGTGTACCCATTTTTAAGCAGTCAAAAGATTTCTTAAAAATAGCTCATTGTATTTTGGAAACTTATAATACAGTCCAAATACCTAAGACCCAAAGATTGTGTTGCTGTATACTATGGATGGTTCACTGCAAACTTCATAGAGTAGCATGTTGCTTAAAATTATATTTTGGTTTGTCCTAACTTCTAAGAAACAATGACCAAAGTGCTGTATATTGTGGGTGATTAACTTCTTTAATCTTAGATTCAACACCTGTTAGAGAGCGACAAGAAGTTATATGAGTGGTGACAATGTTCCTGATGTGCACAGTTGGTTGATATTTTCTTGTTGACATTTTGTTATTGCAATATTATTATGCTTATGAAATATTATTGTGGATTATCATTTCTATAGTGTACAGCTGGAAAATCTCAATTTTATTAATTTGAGCTGAATGATGCCTTCTTTTGTTCTGAATTATGTGGAAAAAACACATGTGCAGTTATATATTCTATTATATGGTTCCTATTGATTTGATTCTTTTCTCAAGTGTGGATCAAATGAAGGGGTTCCATATTATTATTATTATTTGGATCAACATTTTGGAAGCCATAGTAGGTGAATATGATCATGTACTTTTACTTCCTGAAATGACAGTGTAACTTAAAAATGTTTTCTGAAATTTGGAGTATAATTCTGGTCTCTCTCTCTCTCTCTCATCATGCTGTTCAGTTTTTTTTTTGTTTTTTTTTTTTAATTTCAACTTGATTATCTAAACTATTTCTGCATCTTATTCAACTTAAATTTTCTGTCTGGAGCATGTATACCATAACTAATCTACTGTTCTTTTTCATCAGATACTGAATGCTGGCCAAATTCCTCTTGCTTATTTAAGCCACATGACAGTAGTTCTTGGAATAATAGATGTATGCACGAGACCTTGTAGTTTGTTAAGTTAAATCTTAAAAGTATCTTTGTTTTTAGCCACATTGCTAATCATCTTCTTACAATCTTCTGTTCTGGTCAGTTACCCATGTTAGTAGTTGGAACACTATATCTAGATTGTATAATGACACCAGCAGTCTTCCTTGGACATCAGGTGGACCTGTGCTTCGCTCAACAATTGTAAGTAATTGATGAGTAAAACGGATATAATTTAACTATTGTATATTGTTTTTTTTGTTTTATTGATCCTTTTTATATGTAAAACATTCTTTTGACAAAAAAGTTAGTGCTGATGTCCATTCTGTTTATCTTATTGTTTGGTTTACTTAGTTTTGACTGTAGCCTCCTCCAGACATTTTCATTGTTGCCCTTTTCTGGTTTTCTCTTGAAGATTTCTTGTTTATTTGGGTTCATTTTTCTGTCTGTATATTCTGCTTATCACACAATTTCTCCCTTTTAACATTCCATTTATTATTATTTTTGTTAGGAACCCAAGCCTACAAACTTTGGTTATCAGCGGTCAGTTACAGTGCAAGCTAAAGCTCCTCCTCAAGCGCGGCAAATGGTATGTTACTCTTTTTTGACTAATTGCACAACATAATAAGTCAATTCGTGGGGTGATCATTAATCAAGTTGTTGAAGCCTTCTACATATGTAAACCTGACAAGACATGGACTATATGCATGTGGTTCACATCTGGTTTAGATTTGTATAAGCTACATTTATTGAGCTGAACAATCAAAATTTCCATGAAGTGCAGTCTGTGCAGATAAGGACATATAAAGAATTGTAGTTTCCATTTGTTTGTGAGTGTCACCACTAGTGATCTCTAATAATTGTGAGTTGAATGAAATATTGCAATTATTTATGTCCTGGAGATGGCATTTTCTCCATGAATGTGTTGGCCAAAAATGGCAGACAGCTAGCTTTCCAAGATGCATTGGAGACATGAGAGTGCTAACATGGTTAGTCTTCCATGCAACCAGGCAGCTGTTAAAGTTTCAATGCTGAGCCCAGGGATTGTATTTGAACCATATGCTACTCGTGAATCAATGCCCTTTTGGAAAAGGTCAGTTATAATTTCAAGATTGGTGCTTTGACAATTTTTTTGCATTGATTTACATCGTCACTTATTAGCATTCATCCTATGAGTGTAATGTGACCTTATCATATCTGTTCATTTCAGTAAGAGTTGGTGAGATTATCAATGTACTTGTTTCTGACTTTCTGTGAGAATCTACGTAGGCCATGAAATAAGGCTGATGGCGATCTGGTGCTATTTTTTCTTTTAATTTTTAAAATATGACTTATAAATTATAATTGAAACAATCATCTGTGGTCTGGATGGATGCTATATCAAGCATATTTTAAATGTATGCATGCAAGGTATGTAACTCACTTTCTTACCATGCTGGTTATCAGATGGTTCACAAGAACTGGTTGGAGAAGAATAAAAGAAGAGATCACTTCAGAGGTAATTATTTCTTCTTGTTTATTCATCTATTGCATTGGTCTTTTTGGTGACATTTTCATGAATTGTTCTATGAAAGAGAACTTCATAGATAGATCTTTGTTACACTTACTGTCTCTTTTTATCTTTCACAACCTTCATCTTTATGCTACTCTCCTTGGTCTTTGGAACTTGGTCAGTCATATTGTTATATGTTTGCTTGCACATGCAGTTGTTTTGTATGGTGCCTTGCTAGATTACAATACATTTCTGTCACATTGTGAATATTTACTTTCAGCTCAAAAGTGCCTATGCAATTGCTAAACTGCGCAAAACTGGGTATTCAAAACAGAAATTCTATGAAGAAGCACTTGAGTTGTACAAAGAGGTGAGATTTTGTCTTGTAGATTTGCTGTGCAATCATATTTTTTGTGGACTATTGGCTTCTCTACTTAGATTTTATTCTCACCTCAAATCAAAAAATAAAGAGAAATTCTTTGCTAGATTTCATAGATAATATTATAATTTTCTTCTTTCCAGCTAATATATTTTTTGCTTTCTCCTATTCAGATAAACACTCATATAGCAAATGGAGATAAAGCACCACTGAGAAAATCAGTCACAGAGAAGATGTACTCTGTGGGTACTTTCTCCTTTTGTTAGGCTACTACTTTGTAATAATTGTTGCCTTTTGCTGCTGCAGTATTTGTGTCTCCACATTTGCTTCGGAAGGGACATTAATCCCTGCCATTTGTCATTTTCTGTTTTTATAAGACAGGCTCTCAAGAATGAGATCAGGCAGAGAGAATCAGTATGGAGTCATGTTTACTGGGAGCTTGTTGAACCAGTTGTCAAAATACGAACTCTGCGAGCTCGTATGGTAAGTCTTGATTTCATAAGATAGTAATAAATTTTAATTCTTTATGTTTTGTAAATGGTGGCCCTTTGCTATCTTAGAATGTACTACAAAGAGAGTACAGATGAAGAGTAAGATGTGTTAATAACACCCTTTCCTGATCAATGTTTGGTATTTTTTTTTTTTTTTTTTTTTTTTGGGGGGGGGGGGGGGGGGGGGGGCGGAGGATGGGGGATGGGCTGAATAAACAAAAGGAAAACCAAATGAAAGGAATGCATTGGTCAATGGTCATTATGATTCTTGGGAAGGTGACAATGATGCTTTTATTTAGTTGGAAAAACATTATCACAATAGATAGTTTATGAGTTTGTGTCACCTCAAGGGTTGTGGAGAACCATAATTGATCTCTGTGCTTATGGTGGCTCAAAAAAAGGAACCTTTAAAATTGGGAGGTTCCAACTGTATGATGTTTCTAATGTTTAATCTATTTTCTGATTATTAACTTTTCTTCAGTTGTTGGCATTGCCATTTTTTTATGCTTCATAAAATAGAATTTTATATCTATATTTTCCTGCACTTTGTTTTCCAAGTCTTTTCTGTTTTGACGACACACATGGTTTTATTTGTTAATGTGGATGTGGAAATCATTGTAAAAAGTTATGCGTTTGCAGATTGGTGTTGATCGGGATGACCTCAGTAAACTCTTCATACAATTGACGCTTGAGATTGTAACAAAACAGGTAAACTAACTACCGCAGGGGTCCTATTTTCTGTTTCAAAAAGTTATGTGTTTGCGTTTTTTTGCTTACTTGGTTAAGTTGTATTAAAAAGACCTTTTTATTTCAAGCAATGGAACCTAAGGGACAAGTTGTAATTGGATGCCTTCCTTTTTGTTGTCAAAATAAACCATTTCTATTTCTGTTTCATTGAAGACATTTAGCAAGTATATGTTATCTTGCAGAAATTTGAGGCATATAATTCAAATGGAGCTGTTATTGCTGGAAATAAAAACAAAGAGGTAGAGAAACTCAACTATTATTTCGCACTTTTCTTGCCAGTTTTTGCACAGTTTAAATCTAAGGTGCTAGTTCTCCATACATATTGCAAAAAATAATTATTCTACTACCCAGATAATATAGATCAGGAGAAAAGAATGGTAACCTTGTTCAGAAAGATGGAAAAAGACATACAGTAATGATGTAGGCATACACTAACACGTTACACCCCCCCACTCTCCTCCCTCTCCCTCGCCCACCCAGCACTGTATTCTCATAATTTTGTTTTGCGAAACATTTTATTTCTTTGCCATACATACAATTATTTCCTCTGATATCTTGAGGTTTCCTGTATTTATATAGGTCACAGTTCGAGAAATATGGGTTTTTGAGAAATCTCTCTTCCACAAGGGGGCATGCTGGCGTCTCTGTGGTAGAATCAAACCATAATTGGGGGCTGTCTTTAAAAATGATTATGACAACATCTCATAGTTGAAAATTTTCACTGTGTATTTCTTATCTTATGGTAATAAATCTCAATTTTGTCCCCTTATTTTGATGGTTTCCCCTTCACATTTCAACTTTGCTAGTAATTGCAGATTTGCAGCAGTCCTCCTGTGTATTTCCTTAAATTTTAGAAAGTTGAAGGTGACCAAATATGTACTTTGGTAGTGATTTTGGGCTTGAATATAATTTCATTCACAGGCATTCCTTCAGGACAAGAAGCTTTTTCCTTTGTGCAGCCATGGTCTTGGATCGTCCAAATGGTCCTATGAACAATCAACTTCTGTTGATTTATTTTCATATAGAACTTTGGATATTTATGTCTGTCCTCCACCACATATTATGTCCCCATGATGTTTTGGAGCACACAACCTCCCCACTGCCGGTTACTATCACCGCAATCGAATAGATAGAGACACACAACTTTTTATTTTGGCCGGTCACACTTCATTCATTGGTTGATACTTGATACTATCATAAATTACTAAATATTAGTAATTATGGTAATATTTAATTAAAATTTAAATGAAATCAAATTTCAAACTTATTTTTTATATTACTCCAATATATAATGTCTCTATACATTATTACAATTGAAGAATATAAGAAAAAACATTATGTATGTATGTGCATGATAATAATAATGAGAAAAGATAACCGAAGTTATAACTGTACAACTTTTATATAATAACTAGTTTTTCACGCGCATTGAGTGATTGGGATTATGCCCATGTTTATTTTCAAATAAGTACTTTAAAGTATACCAATGCAAGATTATATTGGAGTTGTTTATGTATATATATATAATTAAATGTTGAATTTGGGTATTTAAATAGGTAATTCTAAATTTACGAATGCAAGATAATATAGTCAAGATTAATTATAATTGTCTGATAGAACTAAATACTTGTTCTATATCATATATGTCTTTTGATAGTACAAATTGTAGAATAACTTGTATAGAGTCTGTATGAATCTAGAAAGAAGAAGCCAAAAAAAATTAGCCCAAGAAACCTCTTTTATTCAATATAATGTGTTCTCTAGAGAGTTAAGAGGAATTTTGTGACTTTGACCATGACCCGAACTGTTTGACATCGACCCGACTACAAAACAAGAGCACAGATGTATAGGGAATTGGAACTTAAAACCGAGGTATATTCCATATCATTGTCAATAAAATAATTGTTTGCAATTCTGACAAATGCTAGTCTAAAAATAATAATGTAAATAAATACTACATTTGATTTAAATTTCTTTAAGTCTTCTTAATTCTCTTTTGGATAACATTGTCATTCTCTTCATTTTTCAGTACATATCATCTTCTCTTCTTTTGTATTGGTAATGTGTCACGTTCAATTGTGCATTTATGATTATGCATTTGATGAATGAAATAATAATAATAGTAAGAGAAATCATGTTTTATGAATTTACTTACATTTTCATCTTCCAGAGCAATGAGCATGTACTTTTTTCCCGGTATTGCAATAACATTACTTGGTTCATTTTTCTTAATGACACGAAATTTACAACTCTATTTCACTATTTATGTATCAATATTAATTAACTTGAGTTCACTTGTCATGTCTAATATCCTAGTGTCATGGTAATGTTTATAAACAATGTTAACACATAATATACTTTAAAGTATATTAACATTGTATATCATGTGTTATACATGTTTATGAACATTACCGATGACACTAGGATATCATGTGCTAACATTGTTTATGAACATTACCGATGACATTAGGATATTAAACATGACAAGTGAACTCAAGTTAATTGATATTGATACGCAAACAGTGGAATGAAGTTGTAAAGTTCGTGTCATTAAGAAAAATGAACCAAATAATGCAATTGCAATACCGGGGAAAAAGTACATGCTCATTGCTCTGGAAGATGAAAATGTAAGTAATTCATAAAACATGATTTCTCTTACTATTATTATTATTTCATTCATCAAATGCATAATCATAAATGCACAACTGAACATGACATACTACCAATACAAAAGAACATAAAAGGATATGTATTGAAGATGAAGAGAATGACAATGCTACCCAAAAGAGAATTAAGAAGACTTAGAGAAATTTAAACCAAATGTAGTATTTATTTACACTATTATTTTTAGACTAGCGTTTTTTTAAAGTTGCAAACAATTATTTTATTGACAATTATAATCAATCTTGACTATATTATCTTGCATTCGTAAACTTAGAATTACATATTTAAATGTGCAAATTCAACATTCAATTATATATGCATAAACAATTTTAATATAATCTTGCATTGATATACTTTAAAGTACTTATTTAAAAATTTAAAAATAGACATTAGGCATTATCCAATCACGCAATATGCGTGAAAAATTAGTATATATATATATATATATATATATATATATATATATATATATATATATATATATATATAAAGGTAATCCCATATTATTAATATTTGTAATTATAAGGTCTGGGTATGGTTGAAACCAAATATGGGACACAAGAGAGAGCAAATAAAGATCAGGGTATAAGATATTAAATATCCTAATATAGTTTAAGGGGATTCTGACAGAAAGTTGTGTTTGAGTTGGTTGATCGCCGGTGCGATGTGGCAGGGGAGGCTCAACAGAGACGGGTTTGGGAAGGTTCTAGGTTAATGGAGGTTGGGCGGAGGCAATGACAATTTGTTTATACAAATAATATTATAGAAACATTTAGAAGATGTACAAACATACCTGCAGAATTCCCAGTTGATGTTGTGCCTCATCAAACTAAGTCTCAGCACAGAATTTCTTGTTGATGTTATGTTGCAGAATAATTTAGATTTGTACTTCTAATCAGTGGGCAATGACTTAATATATAGACTAATGGTGTAGTTATAATTCTATAAGGATTTGCGGGTTAGAGTTCTATTAAGACTTAATATTAGAATTAAACTAATGATGTAGTTATAATTCTATAAGGATTTGTGGGTTAGAGTTCTATTAAGACTTTAATATTGAGTTAATACCCAAAATTGTCCTCGACTATAGTGATTTTTCTCAATTTTGTCCTAAACGACTTTGGTGACCTAATATAGTCCCAGACTTTTGTGTTTCGCTCAATTTAGTCCTCCGTTTGTTATTCCGTCAAATTGGTGTTAAATAAAGGGACAATTCAATAATATCAATATTGACATCTCATTACTTTCAACCTGCGAAGTGAGAAATCTATCTTTCTTACACGAATTACACCCAGAGTTACTCTCAGACCTACGAATCAAATTTTATATTCGCAGCTTTAGAAGTGATTCTGGGAGTAATTCGTAAAAAAAGAGGGATTTCGCACTTCACATGTCTATGAATAAAGATATGCCAATATTAGAATTACTGAATTATCTATTTATTTAACAACAAATGGACGGAATAACAAATGAGGGACTAAATTGAGCAAAAACACAAAAGTTTGGGACGAAATTGAGTAAAAACACAAAACTCTGGGATTACATTAAGTCACCAAAGCGTTTAGGACAAAATTGAGAAAAACCACTATAGTCGAAGACGATTTTGGGTATTAACTCCTTTAATATTAGAATTAGACTAATGGTGTAGTTATAATTTTATATAAGGATTTGTGGGTTAGAGTTCTATTAAAACTTTAATATTAGAATTAGACTAATGATGTAGTTATAATTCTATAAGGATTTGTGGGTTAGAGTTCTATTAAGACTTTAATATTAGAATTCTATAAGAATTTGTGTGCTTTTCTTTTGTGTGATTTGTGGTATTAACGTGGATTTATAATAATATTAACAGAGTAGATAATATTTAACGGAAAAAATAACGGATAACCATATAATTAAGGATAAATTAGAAAATCTCAAGAAAAAATTAAAATCTGATTAATAATTTGATGGATATTTTTTCTATCCATTATATGCCTAACTTTTTTTGGTTCTTAGTATTATATATATATATATATATATATATATATATATATATATATATATATATATATAATGTATAATAAAAATGAACATAAATCAGATCAGATATATATAACATGAAACGTATTGTGCTTTTAGATTGTAATAATTATAATAATATAATTTTAGTATGGAATAACATTATAAACATAGATATAATAAATTTGTAATGAAATGCGAAATAAATGAGGAGTAATTTGAAAAGCATAAAAATAGGGTTATAGGCTATATAGCGCAAAGAAAGTCAAATATTTATTAATTTGGTGGAAAGAGATTTCCAGATTAATATTTCCATGAACACCAAATTAACTACCTTTTCAAACACATTATTTATTATATATATAAATTTGAATTGCAGAACAAACCTTTTCCTTCACGATCAAATCCTTCATTTTTTCTTGCCCAATTACACATTCAATTTATTCATTCTTCCATATCCGAAACCCTAAGCATTGATCCATACTGTTTGCATAATATAATTATAAAAAAGTATGATAAACAGCAATTGCAGTAGTAGTTGTAGCAGCAACATCAACGGCAATCATCATCATCATCATAATCACCACAAGCTTCCCAAACGCATCATCTTATTGCGCCACGGCGAGAGCCAAGGTAACAAGGACGACGCCGCCTACACCGTGATCCCCGATCACAAGATCCCGCTTACCGACCAGGGATTCGACCAGGCCGAGCGCGCCGGGACGCGCATTAGGGACGTCATTTCCGACCAAGGCGCCTCCCACACCTGGAAGGTCTACTTCTATGTCTCCCCTTACGAGCGCACCCGCTCCACGCTCCGCGAGATGGGCCGTGCCTTCCCCCGGAAACGGGTAATCGGGGTAAGGGAGGAATGCCGGATCCGGGAGCAGGATTTCGGCAACTTCCAGGTCGCTGAGCGGATGAAGGTTATCAAGGAAACGCGGGAGAAGTTCGGCCGGTTTTTCTTCCGGTTCCCTGAAGGCGAATCGGCAGCAGACGTTTTTGATCGGGTTTCGAGTAAGTTCTCTTTCGTTTACAATTTTTTTTTTTTTCTTTTTAATTTTTTTAATTTTTAAAATGAGAATGGGATCAATGGATTGCAGTGCTAATTTATACGTTGAACCTTTGTTATTCACATATATTTGGCTAATTTTCATTTGAATATTGCAACTGTGTCCATCTGCTTATAGTTGAAACTTGAAAATTCCGTTTACGAAATATTTTAGAATGATCTGGTTTTAGAATTTGGAGAGAACTCTGCCATGTAGATAGCTATAATTGCCTTTGTGTACTACGAGAAGTTTGATTATGTACAAGTTTGAACAGATGAAAAGTGGGAAAAGGGGAAAACGGGAGGAATGTCTAATTTTTTATCACTATGAGAAGTTTTCTTCATCAACTGGAACCTCTTCTATATAATTGCAGCATTACATCTTGATTTGTTTCCCTGTTTAATTATTTAGAATGATCTGGTTTTAGAATTTGGAGAGAACTCTGCCATGTAGATAGCTATAATTGTTGTGTACTACGAGAAGTTTGATTATGTACAAGTTTGAACAGATGAAAAGTGGGAAAAGGTGAAAACGGGAGGAATGTCTAATTTTTTTTTTTTTTATCACTATGAGAAGTTTTCTTCATCAACTGGAACCTCTTCTATATAACTATGATTGTAGCATTACATCTTGATTTGTTTCCCTGTTTAATTATTTACTGCTCCCGAGAATGTGCAGTTTCATGATGCTAGTTTACAGGATCCACAGTTCTGCACCTTGTTGTCATGTGGTATGCAATAACTTATACTTAACAAAAGGAAAGAGGCATTTCAGTGAAGGCTAACTTCTCTATACTTGCTCAGTTGCTCTTAATTAGATTCCTTTAAACAAGAGACAGATTTTGATATTTAACTTCTTTCAAAGATTCTGATATGCTACCCTAAGATTCTCATTTCTGATTGTGCTTTCAAAGTTGTTAAACAAAACTTTCAGTTTTGTTAAATGAAACTTTGAATTGTTTAGCAAGGGTGGACCTTCCAAAATGAACTTAGTTCTTTGTCTTCCATTCTCAATTATCACTTGTAACCTCTCTCTTAGTTTCCACTGTCATCAATTACCCAATAAAGCATGATCTAAAGAATTCTTCTGGATGATGATCTATATACTTATATGCCTCTTTACTTGGATAGTAATATTCATGATGTTATATTTCTGTTTAGTGCATTAAGTAGTGGCATGATGAACTATATTGTGGGCAGTAGGTGCATGCTGCCATGCTGGTAGCCTGGTACTTTTTACATAAGAAAATGATAAAATAGTTATTCTGTAAGCATGCACCTTCTTTGTCAGGTCTGAAGCTGAATATCTTGATCTTCGTATTCACTCTCTATTCTGTATTTGTTTTTATATCTGTTTGTTTCAAATTCAGATTCCTATAGTTAAATATAAAGATGACTATGCAAGTTTCATAATTTTTACTTACTAATAGAGCAAAACATGCATTCTGTGTCATTCATAAAACATAGTGTAACATCACAATATGACAAAATATTAATGTACTTGGCTATGTTATACATTAATCCTCTTAATTTTGTGTATATGAGTCTTAGATGCTGAGGAGAATTAGCGAATCACATCATAATTTGCCTTAGTCTGTTCTTTTGGTTTTGTTGAAGTACACAAGGTGATCTGGGTAACATCAACAGCTTACTTGTCCCTATTTTCATCAAAGTCATCTCTCTCTCTCTTTCTTTCAGACACATACACACACACACACTGTGCAACACCTCTGTATAAATCGTGATACAGACTTCTGAACTTTTCAGTTTTCACTGGTTGTGGAAGGAGAGGCACTGACTTAAGATTCCAACTTCATATTTCTAGAGGTTGAAAGGAAGAAAATTGATCCTTTTCTTGACTAGGAATACATACAAATTTGTAACTGTTTTTGACATTCTTGGTGGGAACACAAGAACTCAACAGTAGTTAAAGAGCTTATGTATACATACATAGATATTTACAGACACACACACGCGTGTATTGTTTTGTTTCTACACTGTCATTACTATTTAATTTTGAACATACTCATTATATCATGGATTCCTTGCCTCATGAATTTGGCTTAATTGTTCTGCTAAGCAGCAGTTAATGAATAGTTTTCGTAATTTTGGAGAACCATTATTATAGCTTAATAAGTTTTAGTGAGCTAGTAGAATGTGACTTTTGTATATTTGGAGTGCAAATTTTTACTCATCTTTGTTAATGCGGATCAGTTTCTTCTATGGTATTATGTAGCTCTTAGTAACATGATAGCTATCTTTTCATGTTATGGATTTCATTTTGAAACTAAGTTGATTTTATGAGAGCTTTTAGTGAGCCAAACGCGTGAATAAAAATGTTAAATGTGTTTATTCAAAAATTGTTTCGATGAAGTTGTGTTTTGAAAGAGAAATCAGAGTCTAGTTTTGGCAGTAATGTTAATGAGATAGTAAAGTTAATTAGAGGCTCTAACCTAATGAACAATGTCTACGCAAGACTTTTCAAAAGTTTAAAAAATATGATTAGAATTTGATGGTCTGATATGCCACCTTTGATCTTCTGTAATTTGTGTTTTCTGTCAATCTTAATGAACCAAAATGCTGATGACAACACTATTATTATGTGCAGATTTCATGAATTCAGCTGTGCACCTATGTTTCAAATGGTGTTATATGTTAAGTATTTTTCTAGGAAATATAATGTCCGTCTCTTTTTAAAGAATTAACTTGGAACATGCAGGTTTCCTAGAATCTCTATGGAGAGACATAGATATGAACAGACTCCACCATGACCCGGATGATGAATTGAATCTCATAATCGTATCCCACGGGCTGGCTATACGTGTCTTCCTTATGAAATGGTTTAAATGGACAGTGGAGCAATTTGAGCGCTTGAATAACTTGGAAAATTGTGAGTTTCGCATAATGCAGCTTGGAAGCGGTGGAGATTACAGTCTCGCAGTCCATCATTCTGAGGAAGAGATGAAGGCTTGGGGACTATGCACTGATATGATTGCAGACCAAAAATGGCGAGCTTCTGCCACCAGGGGCGATTGGAACGAAAAATGCCCATGGTACCTCGATGCTTTTTTCGACACTTTTAACGACTCATCAGATGAAGAAGAACTTTTTTTTGAAACGAGATGAAGAAGAAGTTGAAACTGTTGTTGTGATTCTTCTTGATTCTAATGTATACATTATTTTTTGTTTTTTGTTTTTTGTTTTTTTTTTTTCCTTTTCTTCTTACATAAGGAGTGTAACTTTGCTCCTAGCTGCTTCACATACATAGTACATGGAGCTGAGGTTTCTTGAATCTATACTAGCATTCTTGTAAATTTAGATGTAGCACTTGTAATTAATTAACTCTAGGCAAAGTGTGCATCACAGATGGACTGAATGATGAAATTCATTTCATTTTATTCAATCAAACTTGAGTTTATCTTATGAAAATATATTTTGATTTTATCGTGTCGATAGGATAGATATGTTGTATGGAAATTCTTGCCCCTTATTTTGGAAAATGCTTTTACATTTGACACTCGTTTGAAAAGGTTTTATTAAATTATTATTATTATTGTTATTAAAGAATTTTTATATATACTTTAATAAATGTAATGTATTATATATAATGTAAATTATAAAATGTTTATCTATAAATAAATATATTTATATAGATTAAAAAAAAACATATAGATATGCATATCATTAGCTCTTAGAGTCTAGAATTGATTGGATGTGAATTATATTGTAAGATATTATTAAAGGAGTAATACAATGTTTTCAAAAAAAAGGAATAACACAATAATACTTTTGACATCATAACTTAAAGTCAAAGGTTGATGTCGCTTGACCACAATGTCTTAGAATAATATAATAGTCTTTCAAAGTGTTCTATCTTACTCCCTACTTTTTGTCTCTCTCTATATTTTATCTTTCTAATATTCTAACTCCCTTCAATTCGTCATTTTCGTTTTCTCTTCTTGAAGTTAGCATTCAGTCGAGTAAGGACTGAACTCGACCTGACTTGGCAGATGCCCAATAGATCCTACAATTGTGTTCAACAGCTTATTATTGTAATTGGCAAGACTAATATGTGCCTTAGTCCACTAATCCTCTAGAATTAGTTTTGTTGTACAATATTCTTCGCCTTCCAATAGTAGATCTTTGTCTGCGCCTTCCAATATGCATAGTTAGTGCATACTAGCTGGAGAGGTTTTATGCCACTATTCATCCTAAAATTCAGATCAAGAAACCAAAAACGCGTGTAAGAATATCCAAGAAAATAATTTCAACAGTTTTACACATAGTTAACCAATTAGGCCACAAAATCAAACTAATTGATATACCACATGAAAGTTGATAATGCTTAACCCTATACAACATGTTGATTTTTAGTTACCGTTTAAACGAGTTAATCAAGCATACACATATATAACGGACTCTATACTAACAATATGTAATACAGTAAAAAAAATAATGTGCACAAAGTTTAATTGGTTACACAATTCGAATAATATTGTCCTACGTCTATGGGGCACCCAACTTTCTAGCCCAATCCACTATAGACAACAAGAATGTTATACAATATAAAGTACAGAATTGAAGTATGACAACCACACCCTTGACTACAGACAACAAGAATGTTTCATCGACAACATGTCATCGAAACCTTATATAATTTTTCCCATTAGCCACAACTATCATTGACATGATCATTTACTCGTGGCCGTCCCAAACAATACATTGTCCTAAAGTGAAGCTAGTGGTGTTAATAGTGTTTACTTGCATACTCGGGTGGAGGGGTTCTTCAAAATTTTGTAGAGTATTCACACCATTGTTTCTATATTGGTATAGGAATTGTAATTTTTCTAACATATTTATAAATGAATTGTTAGCATTTCTCTAGTCTCATCCCCTTTGCTTGTGTTGCAATGTGTACACGTAGCTGACTGGTTCAAATTAAGAAAACCAATAGGTCACTCCAACTGAGAGTCGAACTTATAACATTGTGATTACTAAGTCAATAACCTAACTAACTTGGCTGGGTTGCCCCATATTTGCGTTCTTGTGAGTAATTAAATGTCGTTTTGGACTAGTATCCACAAGACAAGATAAACCCTAATCTACAATATAATTTGCAGTTAGAAAACCTAGATTTCTAGGTTTGGGCCGCTCAGCCATTGAATTATCAAACTTGGGTTTATTGGATTGATTACTATCCATTATTATTATTATTATTATTGTTGTTGTTGTTGTTGTTGTTGTTGTTGTTGTTGTTGTTGTTGTTGTTGATAACGCATATATACCCGGTCGGGCAGCCTGGAGAGCGGACCAGTGTCCAACCGGATCAGACTTCTAATCGATCGGGATCAAAGACCCCATGACCCTTCCCAGTCACTAGACCCCAAGCCGGGTGCTCACCTTAAGACTGAGAGGAGGGCTTCCCGACCCACCGCCCATCTATTCAGCCTTCAGCCCCTGACACCTTGTCTCAATCACGTCACGTTTGTCGTATCCCCGACGTCGTGGCTAGAGCCGTCGAAACGGTCTCGCGGGGCGGGACGGGCCAAAACACACCAAAGCCCGTCCTCGTAGCGGGACGGGTTAAAAAGCCCGCCTCTTAGCGGGCTTGGAATGTGGCCGGCCCGCCCCGCCATGCCAAAGCCCGCTGGCGGGGCGGGCTAGCCCGCCAATCAATTTTTTCACTGTGTTAATTTTTTTTTTAAATCACTGTACAATATCCTTAAAAAAAAAAAATCATTGTATAGACGTACAGTAACACTACCTAGTATTGTATTCCTATAAATCTATAATCTTATAAGTTATAACACACTAACACAATTACACAAACCAAAATAACATGTATTAAATACTAAATATATATACAAAATATATATGTATTAGCAGGTCACGGGCTAAACTCGTGACCTGCCCCGCCTGGACCCGTGACCCAGGCGGGACGGGCTAAAAAGCCCACCTCCAGGCGAATCAAAATTTGAAGAACCCGTCCCCTACCTACGGCGGTACGGGACGGGTCGACCCGGTAGGTAAAACTCATTTTTGACGGCTCTAGTCGTGGCACATGGAGCCGCCTCCCTAGCTGGCCAACCTGCGTATCCCATGTGGGGGACATTTTGGGTCCGCGGCATGTATCCCATCCTTCACCTGTAAAAGGCACATTTAATATTAACGGATTCACCTATCTAAGGGGTCTAGCCAGATTATCCTATCAAGTCTCTGAGTAGGGTTAAGTTGGAATTAAATATATCTATTATTATTATTATTATTATTATTATTATTGATTTCTTTGGGTAATCAGCTCAAGTAAGTATTGTAATACCTGAATGAATTAAAGAACTTTTTTTTTTTAAAAATACAAACATCAATGACTTTTGCGGTTTGAATGATAAATTGATGAATGAATGATGGATGATGATGATTGAAAGCTATGTATTTATTTTTTTCTCTTTTGTGTTTCCTCAAGTATTAAAAGCAGCATAGACTTCTTCCTCACTCCACAGACCACAGGCAGGAGCCAGCAGTACCGTAATCCCTCCTTTCTCTCCCTCTTCACCGATTTTCTCTCACTACTACAGCATCTCTATTCTAAACTAACTCCATCAATTTCGCCTCCCCATTTCGGGATCTGGGTCGCCTTTACTTTCCCTCAAACACCAAAACAATGCACAGATTTACTTTCTTTTGAATCTTCACAGCCCTGTCTTTCTTGGATTCTGAGCTACTATGACTTCGATTTCGACATCGCATTCTCACTAATCTGAACACGCCCTCACCGATTACTCCTATAGTATATATACACACTTCTATTGCTTTTTTTTTTTTTTTTGGTGTATGGTGTACAAAGTGTGTATTGTTCACAATTGGACTTCTCAAATGATTGAGTTTGAGGTAAAGACTAAAGTGAAGTTCTGATCTTTTTGACTGAGGTATCGTTATCTGAATTGGGGTCTGTTTGTTTTTTTTTTTGAAAATTTTTGTTTGTGTTTTCTTGGCATTCCATTTTTATTTGAATCTGACTTTTGTTGCTTTTTTTTTTTTTTTTTTTCTTTTTAACATTTGCATTTTTTTGGTTGTTTAATTAGTCTTGAAGATTCGATTTGCCTTTGGATTTTCAGGGGATACTTTCTCATGGCTCATCCATCAGACCAGAGGTTGTGTAGCCAAGGGGCTGTAAGATGTGTGGTGATCTTTGTGGGCTTGTTTCTGGTTCTTTATATTGTGAGGCCATCGATCCTCTGGAGCTCCAATTTGAGGTCAAGTGTTTTGGATTCATGTCCCTTGTGTTCTTGTGATTGTGATGAGGATTCCACACTCCCCTTGCCTTTGGGTAAGTGTGCCTTTCTCTCTTTTTCCATTGCAGGCTGATAAATTTTCATTTTCTATGTTGCTTCTTCCAAGTTTACACAATGCAGTATAGCTTCATGGTTGTTTATCTATCAGACTGGCCAAAATATAAATGATACTGCTGATTGACTTTGTTTGCTGTTCTAGTTATAGACTTTCTTGTGCTTTCACCTCCACTATGTGTTTGCCTTATTTGTATATACCATTTGGTTTTGAGAAGAAATTTGTATGTGAGATGGATTTCACCATCATAATTCTGTAACAATGTGTTCTTTAAAATTTGATCATTTGTGAATGGAAATGCCATTGCTGTGCTTTCATGAATTGCTATATATCTGTTCTTGCACATCACTAACTTAATTTTGTGTAGAATGAAGCAATTTGGCAAATTATATCAGTTGACCTAGCAGGATATGCCACCTAAGTAAACTAATCTTCAGCTTATTTGAGGTTGTTAACAGTTGCCCAACAGTAATGGGCTTAAGATGTATGAGTATGAGAAGAATAGGCATTCATACTTAAAATTAGCTACGGTTTGTACTTTGTAGTTGATTCTTATAGTCAACTGCCATGGCTGACAAGATCTTAGCCTTCAGAAATGGTCATGAAGCTTCATCCTTCACGAGGCTCTCTTCTAGTATAAGAAATTAGTACTTCAAATTTTTTTTTTTTTTGGGTTTAGCCCTGGGTTTCCACCGTCGGACACAAACTAATCCCCTTGCTGGATTGTAGGCACCTCTATTGGGTGGGACTGTTGGCCTGGAGATTTAAGGTTGCTCTATACCCAAAGCCAAAGATGGAACCCTTGACCTTTGGTTAAGGATGGATGAGTCCCTTCCACTCAACCACACCCCCCAGGTTAAATTAGTACTTAAATTAGTGAAACTGAAAAGTTAGTTGCTTGGTTTACTTAAAATGGGCTAAGGTCTATGGAGAAGTCTTGCATTGTCTTGGCAGACATTTTGGGTGAGAGCATTTAAATTCCTGAAGAAGATGATGAAAGCTTAAGTGATCTAGAAACTCTTATGCAATGCCTGTTGTTGAATGCTGCAAATTGTAGGACTAATTATATAGTTTGAATGGAGGTCATAATGTCTAAATGTTGAAGTTCTTAACTTATGGAGCAATAAAAAAAAAAAAATAAAGGCAAGTGTAACGCTGTTTCTTGAAGAAGACCATCCAAGTGCTATCATTTTAATCCTGGGTCTGAATGCAATTTATGCTATGTCTGTCTCTTTACTCGCATAACCAATTATGGTTATTGCAAAAATCAGTTTATAAAGACATGAAGTTAAGTGAAATTTCTCCGGAAAGGTGCTCTTCTGAGAAAATACCAGTTTGATGAGAAATTTATAGGGTAATTTATTATACCCTTCATTTAGGTGTGGATAACATCCTCTCTTTTGAAGGGACTATTTTTCATTTCGTATGGTATCAGTACATAGTACATACCGGTCATAAGAGTCCCATACTGAGCCAAAATAAATCCTGCAGAGATGTGTCAAGGCCCAAGGGATTGTTACCCTGATGTTTAAGCTTGCTTTTGAAGTTAAATTTTTGTGTTAGACGACCAGTAAAAGGAGTCTGGAAGCAGGAAATTAGTAAAGGTTACTCTTCCTCTTTGACCAATAATATACTTCAAAATAAAGAATCATAAGAATTTCCCAAATTCTACTTGACCACGCAGTGTTTTTGGCTGCTGGTTCTGGTGAACTAGCATATTTTCCTGTGTGAGCACATCCAAAGGGCAGATCTGACTGCCTGAGAAACATGCGAATTTTGTTTATTGTTAAAGCCACTTAAGGATCTTTGGCTAAACCACTAGGGGGATATTTGGTAAATAGTTGTTAGCTGATTGTGTTAGTGGGTTTGACTAGTTGATAGCATTAGCTGATTGTAGAAAAGTATTCGGTAAATTAGCTGTTAGCTAATAGCTGATAGTTGATTACATGCAAAATGGCTTTCTCAAAAAGCTTGAGTAGCTTTTTGAATTTTAGCGTTTTGGAGCAATAAGCTGTTACAAAAAGCTAATTAATCAAACATTATATTGATTGTTTAACCGAGTCAAATAGCTAATAGTGGTCAAATAAGCCAAAATTGGCTGATAAGCTATGTTACCAAATAGGCCTTAGGTGAATTGGCATATCACAACCTTAGTTGTTTAAGCTCAGAAGCCTTGGTGATCCGAGGGTATACTAATACTCCAATAGTCTGCCACTGTGGGAAACGTTTGATTAGGTATATGATAATGATGCTTCCATTGTTGGTTTTAAAAGCCGACAGATACGATGCATGCCAATACTGTCGTTAACAGTTCTAAAGTGAAAATAATCCGTTCTTTTTTATGATTTTGAGTTAAATGTGGCTTCTTTTGACAATTTTTTTTTTACACTTATTTGAACTGTTATTATGTGGTGCCCTTGATCTGTTCACTTATCTATATTTTGTGCATCCACATTTCTGTTTCCATCGATAACTTCATATTCTGTTTTTGTTTTTTCTTGCAGATGTTTTGAACAGCTCATTTGCAGGTCAGTCCTATATACTTCTCTAATCTCTAGTATTTAGAACTAAGCATTATTTTAATTGAAAGCCTTCATCATATTCACTGTCCTTCCCGGAAAGTTGATGCCACATCTAAAATACTTTTTATGCCATTGTTTTCTTGAAACTCGAATACTCACCCACTCACTGTATTGAGATGAAAATAAGAAGAGTAGAAAAGAAAAGCGTTGATATTCAACAGAAAATTAATTTTGCATTTTTGCCAGTACATGCCAGCAAAATGAATCAATTTCTTTAATCTGTTCAGACTGTGCTAAAGACAATCCCGAAATGAACGAGGAAATGAAAAAGGACATCATCACCTTACTATCGGAGGAGATTAACTTGTTGAAGAACGTAACGAGCGATAGCTTGCAGCATACGAACGCCCTAATTACAGGTGCGAAGAGAGCATCTTTGCACTACCAACGAGAAGCGGAGAAATGCAACACGGGGATGGAAACGTGCGAAGAAGCTAGAGAAAGGGCTCAAGCGGCATTAATAGTAGAGCGCAAGCTCTCCGAACTGTGGGAGAGTCGGGCCAGGGATTACGGGTGGAATGATGATGAGTAAAAGAGCTTATTCAAGAAACACACTTTTAGGCATTTGAAAATTTTCCTGATAGTTTTTAGAGTTTCATTGCACGCAAACTTAGACTTGGTAGCAGTAAGTAACCCATATCTGTGAATATAGTTTTTTTTTTTTTGGTCAGGAGGAGCTTTCTTTGTTTGTTTCATTTTAGAGTTTACATCTCTGAAGATTCCATTGAAATGGAAAATGAACCTGAGGGGGTTCCCCTGTGTTTTTAGCATTTACTGCCAGTGGGTATTGTGAGATGCTGTTTTGATCAAAGTTCTCTCAGTTCCAAGAAAATTGAATGTGAATTATTACGTAATCTCTAGCTAGTCCCTTTATCAGTGCTAAACTATTGCTGAGCTCAGAGCATCACCATCAATAGATTTTGGTGTGTTTCTTATAGGGTCAATGTTTTTTTTTTGTCAAAGTTATGAGGTGTCTGAGCATGTTTTAACTGTAAGAGCACATTTAAGCCCGTATCATACTTAGGCTAATTCCCATTTGCACTGGGTCAGTCCAATTAAGGGGTAAAGTGCTGGTCAGATTAGTTTTTTCCAAACGAGTCCGACCTCTCTTAAAAGAGGAGTAGGGATGTCAATTGTACCCGTACCTGACGAGAAACTTGACTCTTTGCCCCAACAGGACTGTGATGGGAACAAAAATAGAGGATGGAGAGTACTCTTCCCGCCCTGTCCCCGAATATATATATAGCCACACAACACACACATATATGTATTACTTTGTATATAATTTTAGAAGTATTTTTTTCATGGTATGTCATACTTATGAAATGCATCTTTGGATAATATGTTCAGTTGTAAAATATTCTGTATTTAATATTACTTTAAGTTGAAGATCAATATATACGAGTTTTTTTTATTTAAATATTTTTAAAATTTTTAATATTCTTTTATAACTTATAAACGGAGTTGGGGATTCCCCATCCCCGGATAATCCCCATGAGAATGGGGATAGGGAGAATTTTCGATTCCCCAGTGGGGATGGGGACGGGGTGATGGGGATAGGGAGAATTTTCGATTCCCCGGTGGGGATGGGGACGGGGAGTGTGAGAGAAGTCGGGGGCAGAGACGGGGCGTATGCCCCTCACCCCGTTGACATCCTTACGTATATTGTGTACGGTCACTCACGCCAACCAAGCTGATTTGTATGGTTAATGTTAAGGTAGAGGAAAGAAAGAAAGGAGAGGAGAGAGAAATATGAGGAATTTTTGCAATGCATGCATGTGAAGGGAATCTATTTAGTCTAAAACAATGTGGGAAAACTTTACATACAAAAATCTGTCATTGCATCAGCGTTACTTTAGTGTAATGTTTATGTTATTAAACTTTATTTTTATGAACATATCAAGAAATAGAGTTAATACATTTGAGGTCCTCCGAGTATAGTGGTTTTGCCACGTTTAATCCTAAACTTTCAAATTGATCATATGTGGTCCTTCGACTTTCAAATTTAACCATTCATGGTCCAAGTTAACCACATATGGTTCTTCAAGTTTCGAAATTTAACCAGTTGTGGTCCTCTTGAAAGGACCATGATTGGTTAAAATTTAATAGTTGAAGGACCATGTGTGGTTAAATTGGACCATGAATGGTTAAATTTGAAAGTCGAAGGACCACAGATGGTCACTTTGAAAGTTTAGGACTAAACATGGCGAAACCACTATACTCGGAGGACCTCAAATGGTATTAACTCCAAGAAATATTATAAATCTACTACATAGTGAATGAAAATAAATCTTATATACCTGTAATTTAATGTTTATATACATTAAGATTTAGTATACTTGGTATTTTTGTCCCCCGACACTAAAATAAGTTATAAAATAAACCTTGAGTATACTAAAAATAAATTTTCAGTATATTAAAAATGATGTCAGTAATTCACCTTATAATGGAGACATGAGGTAAGTTCAACTATTGTAGAATGGGAACCTAGATCATACAGGACTCAACAATATCTCAAAGTTGTAAATAGATTCATTCAAGTTGTCAAGTTGTAGCTGACAAAAAGTTGTCAACCAATAAGTGAATGTGGTTCAATGAAGCTCTTTGTATTGTATTGTATTATTCAGAAAATAATCAACCAAATAAACAGGTGAAACAATAACACAGGTCCAAGGAACTCAAACCATTCCATCAAACCAAATATATACTGTCTAAAACCGCAAACCCAGCTGCAACCCCGCCCTCGTTTGAAGAAGACACCTTTGTCCGCATCAGGTAACCACAATTCTCGTTTATTACCACCTCCCTTTTATTCCTGCACAAACAATTCAAACCACAACGTCACACAACATTAAAACTGCAGCAACGCTTTATGCTCTAAAAATCAGAGGTTACCTAAAGTTCTAAACCAATTAAACTGGTTGAAACAAGAAAAATAACAAAAGAAAAATATGAAGAGACAAAAATGCCCTTATTAAAAATAGAAAAAATCATGAGAAGGACTAAAAGTGTCCAAAAAACGATAGTCTGGGATGTAAAATGGCAAAAACGATAGTCTGTGACTAAATTTAGAATTACCATCAAAGACAAGGGGCCTCCGGTGGAATTAACTCTATTTATATTTACCTTAAATAAGCACCATATATACCGAGTTCAGATATGGCTTGCTCTTTGTGAGGAATGCCCTCTCGCATCAAAATCGCTGGAGACAAGGCCGGGAAAATCCTCTGCATGAGGATGTAAGCGGCATCGCTTCCGGTGCCTTCTTTCTGCAACTTCTCAAGAGTTTCTCTCACATTGTCCCCGTAGATATTGTTCCCTGAAGAGAGATAACTATCTGAAATTAGTGATACTAGTAAAAACGGTATTTTTACCACAAAGTAACTGCAATTATCGATCCGCAACCTCCTCCTTCTCGTTGAGGTTTCATAACATATAATTCAGGTCTTTGAATTGCATCCTTAATGACATCTGACTCGTCAAGGCTCCACAGCCCGGCAAAGCATTTCCGCAATTTGGAAATGTCGTCTTTGTTTTCTAGAAACCTGTTCATCAAAGGTTTAACGTGCTGAGTGGGTGTCTCTGAACTGTCGGTGCAATTGAATGTTATTTATTTCAAACATAAAGAGATGTGGGTAATAATTAGGTATATTTACCTCTCGAGAACATTGGGCTTTGCAAGCTCTTGCTGAACTTTCTTGGTACCTGCTAAATGATACGAAATCGAAGGGCACTTAACAGCACAGGACTGCTCCATAAGAAGCCTTGCTCTCCATTCCTAAAATACGACATAAGAAAGATTAACTGAGAAGTTGCGGAGTTGGATACAAGAAGCTGAAAACCAAACAATACTAAATAAATGATTTACATTGACACACACACACACACTAAAAAGAAGAAAAAGATCAAGCACCTTTTTATTTGAGTGACAAGGCAAACCCGCAACCACTACCCGAGGGTGTACACGGGGTTAGGGGTGTAAATGAGCCGAGCTGAGCTCGATCGAGCTCAAAAATTGAAGCTCGAGCTCGGCTCGGTTATGAAACGAGCCAGCTCGAGCTCGAAGTTGACCGAGCCGCTCGACTATATATATATATATGTGTGTGTGTGTGTGTGTGTGTGTGTGTGTGTGTGTGGCTCGCGAGCTACTCGATGAGCCACGAGCCTAAAACATTTGAGCTCGAGCTCGAGCCAAGCTTTGACCGAGCGGCTTGCGAGCTGCTCGGCTCATTTACACCCCTACACGGGGTAAACCCCGCCTTGTGAACCTAGCTAGCAAAGGATCACAAGGAGTAAGCCAGCCTAGGTTGCCCATTGCTGACTGACTCAAACCAAGAAGGCCAATAGACCGCTCCCGCTGGGAGTCGAACTTGTAACCTTGCGGTTACCAAGTCAACAGCCTGAACAACTTGGCAAGAGTCTGCCCATACTTGAAAGGGTGTTTTGAGGATAATATAAAACAATAAATGTATATCCTTGCTTACAGCTTCTATTATAGGAGAAACACATACCTCAATACAAGTAATGGAAAATCAGATAAAGATGAAGGGGTAACAACTTACAGATTCAGAGTGGTAATCACCGGGAGCATATCCTGCTCTAAAATAAACAACTGCAATGACTTGACCATCTCTGTGTTGACAAAAAATTAAGGCCGTGTTTCAAAACCTCAGGATAATTACAGTCTCAATATTAACGTTGAACTATCGAGAAGCCACATACACGACAAGTGTACCATCAGGTAAAAGCTCTCCAAGTGCATCAATCTCCGCTAGTGTCTTCCGGATAGTTGTAATATGATGTGTGTTACAAGCTAAGGAAACATCTATACAAGAATTCGCAAGAGAGAACCAATAATAGAATCTAAAAGCAATAAAGAATATCCAACTATTGTACCCTACATAATTACCATTCTTGAAACACTTGTTAAGGATATCTTTCTTGCAGTACTGAAGAAAGCCAATGCTGATCATACATGTTCCGCTCTTCAGTCTGAACCACAAACATAACTACAGCCCTGCGGTTCTTATTCAAGTTAGTCAAGACATGCAGATGTCTGAAATTTGCAATACACGAACAGAATTATTTACCCGGGGTTGTTATATTCATTCCAAGCTTTAGCTAGTGCTTCAACAAACCGAACCCCAGCATTGTTTTGGGGAATTTTGTCAGGATCTAATGCAAGATGTTTCCTATGCTGCTGAAGTAAACTCCTGAAGTTTGAAACCGAAGCACATATTAGACCATTTTATGTCAGCTTTCTACGAGAAGTTGAGAACTCTAACACCTCAATAAAATTAAAGAAAGCTTAACTTAAATATCATTTTAAGAAAGAAAAAAAAAATCACCTGTGAAGCTCACTGACAAGACAACTTAGTCCAGGAAATGATGAAGAAATTGTATTGAGCTCTATTTGCAGAAGTAATTTAGTTTGTTCGTCTAGCATATAATCTGAACGGTGTAACCCCAAGCGTATTTCCTACATTAATAGTCAAGTCAAGTTTGATATCTTCTCACACCAAGAAATGTTCTGCTTATTAGCAATCAATATCAGATAAACTTGTTCAAACATTCAAACAATAATTCCATCTTTTCAAGTATTAAAAACCAATATGTGGTATTTAAGAAAAACGAGTGAAAAGAAACAGCAATAAGGAATCAGGGAAGGATATATCGAAAAAATGGATGAACACTTGAGCCATACCTCTTTCTTATTAATCTCCAACATTTTAGAATGGATATCTAGGAGGTTGGATGTGAAATCATCAACTTTCTTTGTTCTGCAACACGGGAAATACAGAATTCAGCTCATGCATGATGTCTTGCCAAATCATTGAAAACAAATACATCAAAGTGTATAGCATAGTAGATGCTAAACCAGCAGAAATTGAGTCCAAAGCTCAGCAGATTCTCATTTGTGCTATGGGCTTCAAAGATCAGTATATATTGCAACAAAAACATTCAAATTTGCGAAGTGCTTTTCTAACATTCCAAAAGCAGGTATACTAGCAAATATCCTGTTTGGTAAAATGGTTAGTCTATCAGCCAATTTTGGCTTATTTGACCACTATTACCTGTTTGACTTGGTTGAACAATCAATATGAGTGTTTGATTAATTAGCTTTTTGTAACAAGGTATTGCTCTAAAATGCTAAAATTCAAAAAGTTGCTCAAAGTAGCTTTTTCAATAAGCTTTTTGAGAAAGTCATTTTGAATGTATCAGCTATGAGATAACAGCTAATTTACCAAACACTTTTATACAATCAGCTAATGCTATCAACTAGTCAAACCCACTAACTCAATCAGCTAACAGCTATTTACCAAACACCCCCATAATGAGAGCAACTGAGAAGTAAAAAAGCAAATATGGGAAAGAAACAAGTGAATTTAAAGCCAAGAGAACACTGACTGTTCAAAGCATCACATACACATATACACAAACATTTGGTATATATAAACACATCCATATTTGGAGAAGAAGACAAACATAACCTGGAGAGTGTTTCCTGTAGAAATTCTCCATCCTGGCTCACACGATCAACCAGTTCATTAAAAATAGGAGCAACTTCACAAGCTTGTTTCCAATGACCTTCAGGAAATGATGTGGGCAATAAGGCAAATGGAGCATGAACTAAACCCACACCAGGAACACTTCCTGATCTCTGCAAATAAACAAAAACACCTAAACTTTTACATTTCCCAGAATCTAAAAAAAAGTAAAGCCAATTCAAACTTGGGAATTGAGGACAGAGAGAAGAGATGCAATAAAAAGCAAAACTTGAACGATACCCGATGTTCAAAAACGTAAAAGAATTTCAAAAACCTGAGAATTTCTGTCACCAACAAGGAGACCATGGAGGGAACTCCAGACAAGAGCATCGTACGACAGAGTCTGGAGCAAATTGGGGTGAATGTTGTGAGGATCAAGAATGGCGTCAACCGAACCTTCCTCATCGTGGGTCTCAGGCCTGCTACTATTCAATGGCAAAGGTGTTGCCGATGGAGATTGAGACATGGCAATATGGGCAGACTTTGGAATATGGGTTTGCAAGATTCTGGGGAAAGAGTGAAGCGGAAAGACGGTTGAATGTGATTTGAAACTATAAAGAGCAGTGGGGGAGGGGAAGGAAGTGGTTGTGCTGTGCAGAGAAGAAAGGGAATCAGAAGAGCACCACGAGTGGCCAGCGCCCATTTTTGACCTTCTTGTAGAATCCTAGGTTGCGTTTATCAACCGCCGATGAGTTGATGACGGCTGGAAAAATTAATGTAAATTTCTTCATTTTAAAAGAACACTTTGTGGTCAAACTGCATAATTATGACTCTCAATAATACTAAAAAAAAAAAAAGTTAATATTCAAAATGGTCCTAGATTATAAATGTTTTTATCAATTTCGTTCTTAAGGACTTTGGTGACTTAATATAGTCTCACACTTTGTGTTATTACTCAATTTAGTCATTCATTTGTTATTCCGTCAAATTGGTGTTAAATAAATGGACAATTAAATAATCCCAATATTACCAAGACTATGTGGTCTAATGGTACCCGGGTTGGATTTCCATTTGGAAGATTGTGAGTTCGAGCCTCCACAAGCGTTATTGGCTCTTTGTGTCTTTGTGTTTTAATAGGTTGAGAAAGTATATGAAACGACTTGGCTTGTCATACGGAGAAACGGGGTCCACATCCACATCCTGACTCTCTCATTCGGGGATCGCGGGAGAGGAACAGAAGCTTGGTTGAGGAAAGGCTTGATCGAGCGTCGAGCCGAGGCAATGCAATCTACTGGTGCAATCATCGGTCAAGCGTCGAGCCGAGGCAATGGTTCACAATCTACTACTGGTGCAAACAGAAGCTTGGTTGAGGAAAGGCTTGATCGAGCGTCGAGCCGAGGCAATGGTTCACAATCTACTGGTGCAATCATCGGTCAAGCGTCGAGCCGAGGCAATGGTTCACAATCTACTACTGGTGCAATCATCGATCATAGTGCTTTATTACTGGATGTTGAAGGACAGCCTAGAGGAACGGTGAGAAACAGATTTAGGTGCTTTATTACTGGATGATCATAGTGCTTTATTACTGGATGTTGAAGGACAGCCTAGAGGAACGGTGAGAAACAGATTTAGGTGCTTTATTACTGGATGTTGAAGGACAGCCTAGAGGAACGGTGAGAAACAGATTTAGGTTCGAATCATGTTGGTTATACGATGATACGATGAGGGCTGTCGGCCACTGGTCGAAAATGCATGGATGAGATCAGTGGGCAGTGATTTCCAGCAGCGGATTCTGGAGTGTGGTAGGAGTTTGTTTAACTGGGGTGGTGACTATTATAACAAATTTGGACGTCGTATACAACATTTACGCAACAGGCTAAAAATTTTGCGTGATAATAGGAACCCTACGGCTGTTAATGAATACCTCTCTACGCAACATGAGCTGACTGTTTTATCATCCCAGGAGGAGTTATATTGGCGACAACGGGCAAAACAATTATGGCTAAAAGAGGGGGATAGTAATACGAATTATTTTCACAAATCTGCCTCTGCACGAAAACGAAGTAATTATCTCAAGCGTATCAAGAATGCAGATGATGATTGGGTGGAAGGGCCTAGCATGAAAGCGGTAATCTTGGAGTATTACTGTGACATCTTCAAAACCGCTTCAACCTCTGTTAACTTTTTGCATCATGTGCAGAAGCGTGTAACAGACGATATGAATTCTCGACTGCTCCGTCCCTTTACACATGAAGAAGTGAAAGATGCTCTTTTTCAAATGGCGCCTGAGAAAGCCCCGGGGCCTGACGGTATGACGCCTGCGTTCTATCAAAGGTTTTGGCCTGTGGTTGGCCACGATCTGTGCTGCTTCGTGTTGGATTGCTTGAACAGGCGCTACATTCCAGAGGGGCTTAATAATACAACCATTGTTCTCATCCCAAAGAAGAAAGTACCAGAAAAAGTGGGAGACCTACGGCCGATCGCTTTATGTAATGTAGCCTATAAGGTCTTAGCCAAAGTGTTAGCCAACCGGCTAAAAGAGGTATTAGAGGGGGTAATATCTTCGACCCAGAATGCTTTTATCAAGAACCGTTTGCTATCAGATAATATCTTATTAGCCGGGGAGATAGGTCATTACCTACGAAGGACGCGTCAAGGAACGATGGATTGGGCAGCCTTGAAACTTGATATGGCTAAAGCATACGATCGCATGAAGTGGAGTTTTTTAGAGGCAATGTTTGGAGGTTTGGGGTTTGATCCTGCATGGGTTCAGCTATTATTAATGTGTGTGACGACCATTAGTTACAATATCACTGTAAATGACGAACCAACAGGTAATGTTGTACCTACGAGGGGTATTCGCCAAGGAGACCCCTTGTCACCTTATTTATTCATCATCTGTGCTGAAGGTCTGTCTACTCTTCTTAATCGGGCAGAATCATGCGGTGATATGCATGGTATTAAGATAGCCAGGAACGCGCCTTCTATTAATCACTTGTTGTTTGCCGATGATTGCCTTCTGTTTTTCAGAGCATGTCCACGTGAAATGGAAGTGGTGAAAGACACACTGGATGACTATTGCGTAGCATCCGGGCAGAGAATTAATTTTGATAAATCTAATATCATGTTTAGTGCCAGTACACCAACCAACATGTGGGATTTTATTGCTGAGTATCTTGATGTGCGCCAAACGGATGATCTGGGTAAATATTTGGGACTCCCTTCTTTCTTGGGCCGTAACAAAAAAGGTTACTCTTAGTTTTGTTGAACAAAAGTTGAGAGACCGTTTAAGTTCATGGCGAAATAAATTCATTTCTAAAGCAGGAAAAGAGATACTGCTCAAGAGCATTGGCAAAGCCCTACCAATCTTTACTATGTCGGCTTATTTGCTTCCTTTGAGCATATGTGAAAGTTTAGAGAGGCTTATGAACCGCTTTTGGTGGGAGAACAATGACACAACTGGTAGAGGAATTTCTTGGCTTAGCTGGTTTCGTCTATGTACTCCAAGCAGAATGGTGGAATGGGTTTCAAGAGAATTCATGAGTTTAATTTAGCCCTTCTAGCTAAGCAGGGATGGCGTCTGATGACCTGCCCGGGATCTCTGGTTACCAAAGTCATAAAGGCTCGGTACTACCCCCACTCTGATTTCTTGGAGGCGGAGTTGGGCAACAACCCGAGCTATCTATGGAGGTCAATTTTAGCTACAAAAAGTGTTCTTCGGGAAGGAATGGCAAAGCGTATTGGTAATGGTCGAAACACAAAGGTGTGGGGTGCTCCTTGGCTGTTGGACAAATCCAATCCGACGCTGAATACGCCGATTGTGGATGAACTAAGGGAAGCTCCGGTATCTGGTTTACTCACAACCAATGGTGAATGGGATATTGAGGTGCTACAAGACATCTTCGTTGCGCAAGACATCCCTAGAATCCTTGCAACACCCGTTTCGGTGGATTATGAGGATGAGTGGTATTGGAAGGACGATATCAACGGAAGGTACACTGTGAGCCATGGCTATCGCTCCTTGATGGCAAATAGGGAAACCTCGGAATCGCATCTTGAGTTCACAGAATGGAAGTTGTTATGGAAACTGTCAGTGCCTCCTAAAGTTAAAAATTTCCTTTGGAGATTTTTGAGGAAGGTGTTGCCTGTTCGAGAAAATTTGAATTCCAAACATGTTTATGAGGGAGGAGGCTGCCCTTTTTGCGCATATGAGTATGAAACCATCGAACATCTTTTCTGCGAGTGCCAGGCAATCAGCCCGTTGTGGGGTGGTAGTGGTCTAGACGGAGCTGTGAACTTGTATTATTTTATGAATGTTGCTGTTGTTACATTTCCAATCGCAGAGAGGATCAAGGTGGCAGCACGGCTGTGGGCTATTTGGCATTCACGTAATGAAGTCGTGTGGGAGACAATATGCCGTCCTTAACATCCATGCAGAGCCATATCCATTCATCTACTGCTCTTTGGTTGTAGACTTACGTGCAAGAGGGAAACACGTCCACACAATCTCCTCCCGTGTCTAATCATACACCTGGTTGGAGTCCCCCGCCGGTAAATTTCTTAAAATGTAATGTTGATGCAACTATTTTTGCTGATGGAGCGGGTTTTGGCGCGGTGGTACGAGACGAAGAGGGTAGGTTCGTGGCTGCTTGTAGTGCGAGGTTAAACTGCCAAGATGACCCTTTCATGGCGGAAACAATGGCGGTGAAGGAAGCCCTCAAATGGTTGAAGACTAATCGGTTTAATAATGTTATTCTTGAAACTGATTGCTTAAATTTTTGTTCGGCTTTTAATTCATGTAAATTCAACATTTCCTATGTTGGTTTGATTGTAAAGTAATGTCGTGTGCTTGCTTCAGACATTGGAAACCTTCGTGTTCGCCATGTCAATAGGTCAGCGAATCATATAGCTCACGTCTTAGCACGGGCTTCTGATTCTTTGTCTGCCTTAGGTTCGTGGTTTACGGTGACACCAGCCTGTATCTCATTCCTATTTGATGTTCAATGAAATTCATCTTTTCCTTTCAAAAAAAAAAAAAAATAGCAATAGAATTTTACAATTTTAAATTTTTCAAATAGTATGAAATTAATGTGTGATTCTCTCTTTAGGGTTTCTGACCAAGAGAGTCTCTCCCTAGCTTTTCTAGGGTTTTTCTTCCATCTGCGTATTTGGTGAATTTTTTTCTAGTGTTTTCCTCGTATGTCCTTCACGTACTGTTTTGTTGGCGTTTCAAATTGTTTACTTATCCGTTAGTGCTACGTCGATGGATGTTTCTGAGATCACTAACAGATGCGTTGAACTTTCGATTATCGAGGAGAAGATCGAGGGTGTGGAGTTGCTAGAACCGGCTGATGAGACTGGTGGTGTGGAGTGTTCAGAGCTCATTGGACGCTTTCTTACTGATCGTGTGATTAAGTTCAATTACATACAGCATGTCATGGCTTTGGTCTGGCGCCCGGTAATGGTTATGCGTGTTCTTCCTATCACGGACATCTTGTTCTTATTCTAATTCCCTCATCCGAAGGCCATGCAACGCGTTATTAATGATAGACCTTGGCCCTTTGAGAATCACACTTTTGTGTGCAAACAGGTTCCTACAAGGACCTGGCCTGAGGATGTTGCGTTGGACTCGGTTGTTTTTTGGGTTCAGATTCACAATTATCCGGCAGTTTATGCTTCACCGGATTTTATCGCCAGAATTGGAGATTATGTAGGAGCTTTTCAGTTTGCGGATCTGAATACTTTGGGGGTGGGGGGGTGGGGCTTGGAGAAGTTATTATTGGATTAGGGTAGCCCTTGCTGCTGCTGCATACTACTAGTATTATTATTATTATTATTAAAATAATCAAATGGTATTTGGTTTGGTTCGATTTTTTCCAAACTGCTCAGCTCAATTCGGTTTACAAGAATCCTGAACCGTTCAATTTTTTATTACTAGTTTGGATCGGATCGATTCGGTTCGGGTATTGCCCACCCCTAGTTGGTGTTGTGGTTCCCACGTTGGCAACGGCTGAGGATAGTGAAGGTATGCATCTAGAAGTGGGGACCTTAAACGCAAACGAGAAGATGGTGCAGCATCTAGAAGTCTAATTGGGAAGGATGTTGTTATGTTAGAGGTTCCAAAAAACGTTTCGTCAGCGGGTCTAGGGGGCTAGCCCCCCCATCCCCAATGAGTAAAATTAGCTAGAACTATCAGGGATTGGGTAGCCCTCGGACAATTCTTGAACTACTGGGCTTAGTATCCAGACAACGACCCAGTTTGGTTTTCCTTATGGAGACGAAGTTGATGTCTGTAAGGATGGAACAGGTGAGAAGTAGGATGGGTTTCGAAGATCTTTTTTTTTGTGTTAATAGGGTGGGATTGGGAGGTGGTCTAGCCTTGTTGTGGAGGGCTTCGGGTATGTCAGACTTGCTCAACTACTCTAGTAATCACATTGACATGATTGTGTCATTACTTGGTAAGCAGCAATGGAGACGCACATGTTGTTATGGTTTTCCTAAAAGGTCGAAAAGGCAGCTTTCTTGAGATCTTTTGCGCCAACTCAAGGGCCAATCATCTCTCCCCTTGGAGGTGCTTGGAGATTTTAATGATATCACTTGTCACTCTAAGAAAAGAGGTATACACCCGCACCTAGATGCTTTGATTCAGGGTTTTAAAGATGCTCTGCATGATTGTTCGTTGGTTGATCTTGGCATGTCTGGCTCACGTTTTACGTGGGAACGTGGTCGATGGACAGAGGGTTGGGTAGAAGGACGGCTGGATAGGGCGGTGGCTACTTTGGAATGGACTGATTTGTACGAGGGTGCATTTGTGCGTAATCTAGTTACGCTTACTTCATATCATAGTGCTTTGTTTCTCGATCTTAAGGAAGCTTCTATGTCTACCGCCCATCGAGTTTTTAAATTTGAGTCAGCATGGCTCTATGATGACAATTGTCGAAGAGTGGTTGAGAGTGCATGGGCGCAGCCGTCCAGTTTAGCTTTCCAGCAGCGTGTGACAGATTGTGGCGCTAATTTATGGCGGTGGGGTGGACAACATTTTAGGCAGTTTAGGCGATGGATTAGTGGGTTGCATGGTAGATTCGATGCTTTGAGGGATAATCGCAGTTCTGGGGCTGTACGTGAGTATAAGAAGATTGAGGGAGAATTATGGAGGGTGATGGCTCATGAGGAGATGTTCTGGAGACAACTTTCTAAATAGCTTTGGTTGAAAAATGGGGATCAAAATACAAAATATTTCCATAAGTTTGCTTTGACCCGGATAAGGAATAATATGTTGCAACGCATAAAGAATTATGAGGATGCTTAGGTTGAAGGTTTGGAGCTGCATGCTGAGGTTAAAAAGTATTTTGATGATATTTTTATGTGCATGCATAATAATGAAAACTTCCTACACTGAGTACGGAGGAGGGTTTCAGATGATTTGAAGGCCCAGCTGCTTCAACCTTTCACAATGGATGAGATTAAAGTAACTCTCTTTGCTATGGCTCCTTAGGAAGCACCAGGTCTAAATGGTATGACTCATTCCTTTTATCAGCATTTTTGGCCTCTTGTGGGGCGGGATTTATCTAATTTTGTTATTCATTGTCTTGAGAATTGCTCGATGCCACAAGGATTGAATGACGCTAATATTACATTAATCCCTAAGAAGAGGATGCCCGATAGGGTGTCTGACCTTAAACCAATAGCTCTGTGTAATGTGGCTTACAAGGTTCTTGCTAAAGCGATGGCAAATCGTATGAAAGATGCGCTGGATAATATATTTCACCCTCTCAAAGTGTTTTTGTCCCGGGAAGACTATTGACCGACAATGTTATTGTAGCAAGGGAGGTAGGTCAACTATCTGAGGAGAAAACGCAATGGAGTTCAAGGTTGGGCCGATCTTAAGCTTGCCATGGCAAAGGCGTACGACAGAATGGAATGGGGTTTCCTGCGAGGTATGTTAATGGCCATTGGGTTGGCGTCGTGAATCGGTTGACCTTGTTATGTAGTTAGGTGGTTAATGGTGAGTCGGCGTGGATTGTTTTCCAACAAGAGAAATACGAAATGTGGACCCTTTTATCTCCTTACCTTTTCATTATTTGTGCAGATGGCCTTTTTCATTGCTTCAACAAGAAGAGGCGACGGGTTCTAATCATGGGTCAATGTGGCAAGGAATGCTCCCTATTCATCTATCTGATTCCTGGCGCGGGAAGGGTGACATTAAAGGTGTGTATACAGTTAGACATGGATATCAATTGTTGACTCTTAATGCTACATCTCTTATCCCTACATGTGTTTTCACTGCATGGAAAAGATTATGGAAACTTCCTGTTCCTCGGAAGATTAAGAATTTCTTGTGGAGATGTGCACGTAATGTCCTGCCAGTTCGTGAGATTTTGAAGTCCAAGAGGATTTGGGCGGGTGGTGGCTGTTTGCTTTGTGATTATAGCCTTGAAACGATGGAGCATTTATTTTGTGAATGTCCAGTTACTTGTCATGTTTGGGGTTGTGATGACGTGATCCAGGATAGAATGCTACATGAGTTGATGAATGAAGTGTTGAGCTCGTTTGATCTTGAACATGTAGTTTTGATGGCGGCAAGAATGTGGGAAATATGGTCTGTGAGGAATGATTGCATATGGAATAATAAGGCTTGGTCAGTGGAATAGATGCGAAGGAGTATTGACTGGCACGCTCTCGTGCTACGCAGATGGCGCAAGCAGGCAACAATGATGTGTGGACTTCACCGCCGAAAAATATCCTTAAATGTAATGTTGATGTCGCGTTATTTCCCAATGGAGCTGGCTACGGAGCGGTGTTGCGTGATTCCGATGGTAATTTTGTTGCTGCTCGGAGTGGACGTTTGAATAGTGGTCAAGATCCTTTTTTTTGGAGGTAGTAATGACGTGTGCCTGTTCGCCATGTCAGGATAGTGGTCAAGATCCTTTTTTTTGGAGGTAGTAATGACGTGTGCCTGTTCGCCATGTCAGGAGGTCAGCGAAAAAGGAAGCTTTAGCTTGACTAGACATGTGTCTGTTCACCATGTCAGGAGGTCAACGTCTTAGTGATCTGCTCACTTTGGACATAATCTCTACATTGCTGTCATCGAGGTTCGAACCTTTGTCTCTTCTCTCATATACTGTCTACTGAACCATTGAGCTAACCCCGTATGAGCAATTAACGATCTAAGCTAGTTTACCTACTTGTGACCTTTTGCTACAGGTTTCACTAACCAATAACACATTGTCATGTATCAATGGCAAGTTTTCTGAGTTAATTACCGATTTGGTCCCTCAACTATGAGGATTTCACCAATTTGGTCATCGACTACCAAAATTCCTCAATTTGGTCCCCGACTATGGCATTTTTATCCGATTTGGTCCTAAAGTCAAACCAGCTTGTTTATGGCAATAAACTTGAGGACATTTTTATAATTGCACATTGTTTCCTTTCGCAGCTGTCTAAGTTAATTCCACGCTTATTTCAGACAAACAAAACCTTCTAATCGTTGAATTCCCAAATACAAAACCCTAATTGCATAAATCCAGTCGAAAATTTGAGCAATGAGTTGAGAAATCATCTATCTTTCAAGCAACAACTATAACCCTACATTAGTGGGCGAGTAGAGAACCGGCGCGTGCAGATCTGCGGTGACTTCTGGTTTTAGCTAGCTCCTTTCCAGCGACCTCTCACCCTCGCTCCGCACTCGTCGACGACGCAGACTGTAGATCGGTGAAGTGTTGACTAGTGGCAGCAAAAGGCACGTCGGTGGACCTCCGTCTCTCTCTCCCTCGCCTATCCCTCTCATATCAAAAGCAACTTTGGTGATGTCCTTTTCCAGTGAAGCAGAGTAGATCAGTGGCAAGCAACAATCTCCTTCTCTCGCTTCCTGCTGTCGCAGCGATAGTCTTGGAGGAGCTCCGGTAGTAGCAGCTCTCACCTTCTACCTTCATTATTCCGGCAAACCTAGCAGTAGCAGTTGGAGGTAGCGTTGACTGGTGTGCAGCGACGGTGGAACGTTCCGACGGCATCCGCGATGTTGTGGATGGTGGTGGTGTCCGGCGGTGTAGTTGAGAGGTGATCGGCTATGGTGTTGAGTTGATGTTGAGAATGAAGGGTGAAGTCTAGTGAAGAAATGACATGCATTGATGATGATGATGTTGGCTAGAAATTGGAGATGATAATAATAATTTGGATTGAAGAAGGTAATAATAATTCTTTTTAATAATTCTCAAATTGCCCTTTAGGTTTGACCGACAAATAACACTTAGGACCAAATCGAGTAAAAATGTCATATTCAACGACCAAATTAAGAAAATTTAGTAGTCGAGGATCAAATTGGTGAAAGCATCATAGTCGATGGACCAAATCGATAATTAACTCCAAGTTTTCTTATAAATCAAAGCAATGCAATTATTGGTAGTCCATTTGGTACAGTGAACATACTTCTAATCTCATAGGTGGCATCATTATTATTGGGATTGTCTTCTTTTACAATAAAAATTTACTTAAAAAGATGAAATCTCTTGCTACAAAAGCTCACACATCAATTTGACAAAATAATGAATGGATAAATCATAGTAACTCAACAATAGTGAAACTTATAAATAAATTTTAAGCTTTATTTGATAAAATATAAAAAGTTTAAAATAATAACTTATTTTGAAATACATCTTAAATAATATTTCGATTCAAAATAAATTAGTACGAAATAGTTATTAGTTTTTAAGCTTTAACCTAACTTTATGTCAAACATAATTTATATGCATTTAACTGGCAACACAGTGTTATATGAACCATAATAAAAAATTCATTTTTAATATATCAAATGTACATTATTTTACAATATACAGAATATGGTCCACAAACTACATTTAACTTGACCAAGCTAGAGATGGATAGTGATGAAAACTTTATCCCTTCATATTTATTTTTGAATACTTTCCATATGAAAATAATAAATCAAGCCCAAAATAATCAAAAACATAATCTTTCTTCCTCAAACCCAAATTAATAAAAAACATATACTTCCTCCTCAAAATATTAAATCCCCAACCCGAAAAGTCCACAATCAACATCAAAAACATATTCTAAACTCAGCACTTCCTCCGCCACCTTCATAATCGATCGGGTAAACACGTATGGTGACCCACCCTGTGGTGTCACCGGAAACTTACATTCCATAACCCTCTCTTCCTCCTCTTCTTCTTCTTCTTCTGTAATCGCATCTTGGGATTCGTCTTCTGACTCTTCTTGCTCAGAATATTCTCGGCTGTTTTGATCATCATCGCTATAGATGAGATGCATTCTCAACCGCCCATCTTTCCTGGAAGCGAGGAGAGTCTCCGGCCGATTAGATCTCACCTGTCGGAGCTTTAACCGGCCGTCTTGCCGCACCGGCCGGAGAAAGAATGCGGGCTTACCATCTTGGCTGAGGGAGGATATTGGCGGTGGAAATTCCTTAGATTTTCTCCTCTCCGCCTCCGTTCTTCCCAATCTGCTCCATGAATATGATGATGAATGCTTAACCGGGGAGGTGGAGGCTGTAGTAGGCATAAAGGCGGCGACGGCGGTGGTGGTAACTACTTCGCGGTGGCGTTCCGTTACGTTGTACGTCGTCCTTGAATTGGTGTTCGTAAGGGCTAAGTAGTGGACACTTTTCTTACAAAAGATTATTATTATATATATTCTTCCAAAAGATTATTATTATATATATACTTATAGATAAAGTTGTAGGAAGGAGAAGAGAGCTGAGGGATATGTTGGGTAGAATTTAGAAATTAAAGAGACATAGATTCATTACTACCTTCCTGGAGTCGCCTCCTGGGTGTCATACACCCTGTTAAGAAAATGATGTTTTTGAGGTAATTTTGAACATGTTTTTTATAAGCAAACAAAAATAATAATATGGGAATAGGAGAAGGCTGGGGGATAGAGATTAGAGAATTGTGGAAAGAGTGCCACGCGTGGGTTGAGGAGAGGAATCCGCGACTCTCATAACTCCCACGCAAAACCACTTAACTCAAAATATTTACAAAAGGATCATATTTTTTTCCACCAAAATATGGAATATGGGAAAAAATGTCAAATAGGCCCTCGAACTTTAACTAAAAAGTTAATTAGTCCTCTCAACTTTTTAAAGATGCAATTAAACATGAACAATTCATTTTGATGTAATGAAGCCTAACAACAGATAATTGACCTGCTATCCCAAGTTAAATCTGGCTACCCTCCAACAAAAATTTCATGTAAAAAAAGTGACCGGCGACAGTGACAGAGAAGAGAATGCGACCTCGTCGCCTTCTCAACTAGAGAAGGCAACCCAAATCTAGGTGGTCTTCTCCAGCGAGAAGGCGACCCAGATCTGGGTCGCCTTCTCGCCAGGGAAGGCGACACCACAGACCCCACAGTGTTGCCTTCTCAACCGGAGAAGGCGACTCTGTCGCCTTTACTTCTCCGTCTCCGTGATCGGTTCGTCGATCACTTTTTTGCCTAAAAATTTCTGTCAGTGGGTGGCCGGATCTCTAATGACCTGTGACAGCAAGTCAATTACCTGTTGTTAGGCTTCATTGCACCAAAATGAATTCTTTATGGGTGTATCTGCACCTTTAAAAAGTTGAGGGGGCTAATTGACTTTTTAGCTAAAGTTCGAGGGCTTATTTGATGATTTTCCCTATGGACAATTTATATTATGGACTATGGTCCAGATAGTATTATTGAACCTAAATTGAAACGACGAAGTACACAATTTATATTCATAAGGTACATAATTTCATAACACAAAATGCAAAAAATACAACACAAGACATATAGCACTATGCACTCTGGATTAAAACGACGAGGTACAAAATTAATATTCGTAAAGTACAGAATTTCATAACGCAAGACACAACAAATCATAACACAAGACACATACATATGTTATATATTTGCTTACTTTTCAAATCTGATTTAGGTACATAATTTGTGTTCATAGACACAGAATTTCACAGTACAAGACATAGAAATTCATAACATAAGACATAATTACTAATTTATTCGAGGTATAAAATTCATGCTCTTAAAATATAAAATTTCACAACACAAAATATACACATGAGCCACAATCCATAGTGCAGTGTGAACTCTGGTCCATAGTATAAAGATTGTAAAATATATGAGGTAAATAGCCAAATAGGTAATATACGATGTAAAAACTATTAGTAATTACAGAGTAGTACATTAGGTAAGTAATTAGTTATCGACTTGCATTATTTATTTGATCATTTATTAGAGAGAAGGGATAAAAATGTCCTCAGAAAGTTATCACTGTGTTTGAAAAATGTGTTAATATTTATTTAAACTATTCAATTTATTTTAATATACATTTATTAATTTTTATATTAATTTTAATCAAATTAAAAAAAAAAAACAAAAACAAAAACAAAAACGTAGTGGGCCATGTCATGGCTAGCGGACCTATAGGGCCGGGGCAAGGTGAACCAACCATTTGGTGGGCTCACCTCACCAACCCACTTTGACAACTTTATTTTTGTTGTTCATTATTTGTCTAATTTAATTAAGACTTTAATTATTTATAGTTCAAAATGTTATAATTAGTTTAATATTAATATATAAAATTAAATTTTTTACATATAAATATTGATATTGTAATTCTAGAGTAATATTATCATCATAATTTTAAAAAAAAATGAATTCACTCATGTGAAAATAGGCATACTATTGAACCATGTAAACTTTTTGTGCTCTTTATCGTTTTGTTTTTTATTCTTAATCTTGTCCAGATTCCTCAATAGTTATTATTAGCATTTTTTTTTTGTTTTGCATAAACTTGGTATGATGGGAAAATGACTGTAATAGGACAGAAATGACATACAATGACAAAAATAAGACGTTTTTAAAAGTGGGACAAAATTAGAAAAAATACATTTGGAAAATTCGTTTTATGTTAGTCCCGATCAAACACATACGCAAGTCTCACTTGTGAATGTTTTTTGTTTTTTTTTTTTGTTTTGTTTTTAATCTTGGTCTCGGCGGCCAGATTTGATCGCGAGCTTCTCCGAGACTCCGACGAAGGGGAAGGCGACCAGTTGCGTATGTGTTTGACCGGGACTGACATAAAACGCATTTTTTTAATGTCTTTTCCTTAATTTTGTCTCACTTTTAAAAGTGTCCTATTTTTGTTATTGCATACTATTTTTGTCATATTAGAGACACTTTCCCTGATATCATCATCACTTTAGGACTAATTCAAATTCATCAACCTGAGTACTTCCCACAAATTTTAACTCTTACTCAGAGAAAACCTGACCCAAATTTACGTTCTTTACTTTCATTTCAATGATTTGGCAACATGTCATTCATTGTTGGTGTATAACACACCTATACACTAACAATACATTAAACATTTTATCAAAAAAGGTAATAGAAGATCTATATTAATCAATTTGATAGGAAGACAATTAAAACAGTTTAAAATGTTTGAGAGGATCAAAATATATATTATACACAAATTTATTTATAGTAATCATAAATGCATTCAAGATCACTAGGGAATTACACCAGTTTCACTAATAACAAAGTACCCACTTTTTTTCTAATTTCATTTCAGCATTTTAGCAGTGAATTCATGAGGAGATGGAAGAGTAAAACTGAAAGTTGATACCATATAATATACAAAAAATAGAAGGTGGGACCATATTTACACATACAGGCATCAACTCTAGAGTATATGCTGTACATTATATTGAATCCATTATCTTCTTCACTTAGTATTTGGAAACCTTAACTGTGACAACAATGCTCTAATATCTCTTCATTTTTTTCTCCAAGTACCATGCAAGAAGAAGCTTGATTGGGGTGATCCAGGCAAGAAAAACCACTGCACCCTATCTTCAACAATGTCATCGTATGTATACTTTCACGAGTCCAGCGCAACCTGTTGATGTCGTTCGAGATCACTCAAGTGCTTTGTCAAGTTATACTCTTCGGCATCAAAGAGTTCTTCCGAGTAGGTCCTTTGGTGACCACGCTTCTCGTTTTCCTTTGAACCTTCATTGTCCACCTTATCGCCTCTCAGAAGTGTTACAACCTGTTAAATAAACAGAAGATCATATATAGTTTCTCAATGTGGTATGAGTGTTATACCATTGCAATAAACATAAATGTGCAGCTTAAATACTTGCCTGTCTCATCCAGGGTCGCAAAATGGGATTTTGTTCTACACACAAAGATGCAGTCAGAAACACATGATCCATCTGTTTTTTATCATAACAATCACCAAGAAGAGGATCCACTAGGTCCTTCGTATTATCGGTATCAAGCAAAGGCTTTGCCTGGAATTGAATTGAAATAGACCATATAAATCCGTTTCTTTGAATCAAGAAGATAAAGAAATTTGCATGAAAAAGTATACCCAAAGAACAATGCTTTTCTGCGATTCATCAACTGCTCGCCGTCCTGTTATAATCTCCAGAAGTAGCACTCCAAAAGAATAGACATCAGTTTTCTCATCCACAGTGCCATGCAAAAAGTATTCTGGAGCAAAATAGCTATCATGGAAAGAAAAAAAAGAGGCCATTAGGCATTAGCATTTTTATCATCTCTCAAAACTATCAGAGAGTTCCAGTCCTAATAACGTACCCAAATGTTCCTTCAAAATTGGACACATTATGATGAGTCCACTCCTTGGGAAGCCATTTTGCTAGCCCAAAATCACATATCTGCATGGATATGATATTTAGTAGTATCATTTATACAACAGTTTCCAAAACATAAGATTGAAAGATACCTCTGGCACAAAATCCTCTGTAAGTAGGACGTTATCAGCTTTGATGTCTCTATGAATGATCCGCCTTCGACAAGTATCATGAAGATAAAGCAGGCCATCAGATATCCCTAGAATTATTTTGTACCTAGCTTCCCAATCTAATTTCTCCCTTGGACCTGAGAAGAAGAAAAAGCAAGAGGATAGTTCCTTTGCTGGTTTTATAAACCCATATGTTCTTTCTTATTTTATCAATGTAGGACTCTTAACAAAAAGCTTACCTCGAAGAATTGAGCCTAAACTACCCTTGGATGATAACTTAAGAACAAGATAAGCCCCCCCTTCAACTCCATACCCAATCATCTTTGCAGTATTAGGATGATCCACATGTGCTATAGTTCCAACCTCAGCTAAAAAGTTATCTTCACTATCATCTAATGTTCCCTTATTCATGCGTTTAACTGCTATGAACCGCCCATCTGCCAAGCATCCCTTGTAAACTTCAGCACATCCTCCCTTCCCAATCAAGTTTTCTGTCATAACAAATGAACCCACAATTCAGAATATGATATGTATAACAAACATTGTTGCAAAAATCGGTCTAAGCGCCAGGCGCTAGGCACCCCTAGACCGTGGTGATTTTCCTAGGCACCCCTAGACCGTGGCGACTTTCCTCTAGTCGCCCAGCCTAGGCGCTAGGCACCCTTAGACCGTGGCGACTTTCCCCCTAGTCGCCCAGCCATCTAGGCGTCTGCCTAGCGCCTAACTCGGCCGAGTTAACTCGCCCATTTCAGTCGAGTTAACCTGATCGGGGCCTTGTTAATTATATATATATTAGGACATATATACACTTGTAGATTAGTTTGATACTTTGTATATTTTGATGATTGAAGTATTTTTAATATTGTTTTGATGTTACGACTTAAATTGTCATTATTTCATTTATTTGGATGTGTTATTTGATTGAATGTTGAAAACAGCCTCATTAAAATTATCAAAACTGCAAGTCTGCCATTGTTTTTTGCCCCGGCCTACCGCTTAGGCGCCCAAATGCCTGACTAGCGACTAGCGCTTAGTGCAACCATGATAACAAATACAGTAAATTATAACAATTTACCTTCGCTGAAATCGTTGGTTGCAGTTTTGAGCTCATCCAGGGTGAAGAACTTCCAGGGAGGCTTTATGGAGCACTTCATGTCTGTGTCTACATCTTCTCTCATGCTTCTGCATTTTCTTCTTGATAGCCTTGGAACAGAAAAAGGTGGGAAGGAAGGTAGCCGTTTCATGGTACTTCTTTTCCACATTTTGAAGAATTTGTTCCAGCTTGATTGAGCCCGCAGATTGGGAGAGACGACTACAGCCTGTGATTCTTCTTTAGTTTCATGGGATTTGGGTTGTTCATTGTTTTCCCCGTTGTTCATGCAAGCCTCGATAACTCCTTTCGGGGACGACTCATTTTCATCTTCAAGGGATCTCAACTCTACAACAACATAGATTCGATGACCCAGAATAATGTGATGACGGTCTATAAGTAAGGAAATAAGTTGGAAGCAGAATTGATGATTTGATTTGATCCTACCTTGAGCAGAAGAAGAGGAAGATAGAGGGAAACTTTGGCATCTTTTTGTTTTAGAAGATCCAAAGAAGCCCTTTTGTGATTTTGAACCATTTCCCTGGCTTATTTTCCTACAGAGGAGATAGTATTATTATTACAAATATATATATATATATATATATATATGAATGAATGTTACATAAGCAGAGAGAGAGAGAGGAGGGCTCACGGAGGAAGAGAAGGCGGTTCGTCGGAGACTTTTGCGGCCATTGGAAGAGGTCCAAGACGTTTGGAATGAAAGGTAAAAAGACAAACTATGCAAAGCTTATTGTTATGATGATGATCATGGTTTGAGAAGGTTGAGTTAAGGATGGAATTAAGATTATTTGTGAGATTTGGGGTTACCTGTGAGCATAGTGTATGAGCAAAAGCAACAGCCCTACCCAGGAAGAGGAAGAGGAAAGAGAAAGAGGGATGAAGAATAGTGAGGGTAGGAGGGAAAGACAGGTGGAGGGAGGTGAAGAAGATGGAGAGATGAGAGTTAACAGTTTGATGATGATTTTAGTCATTCTCCATCATTCTCTCCCTGCCTTCTATTATATCCTCCGCTTACCATTAATAATATCCTTAGTCCCAAATTTTATTATGGGAAAGTTGTTTCTAATCATTATTCAAAAAATTCCTTTTTAACTGATAATTACTTAATTGATTATTTGATCTGGTTCATTATCAACTGTGTAGTATTCTACGTTGTAGGTTGCTTTCGCATGAAACATAATAGACAACCTTTTCGCATGAGGAAGAAGGAAATAATATAATAGAAAACCTTTGAGTCCATAACTGACAAATGATACAATCGTGCTGGAATTAATTGAGAGAGACTTTTAAGGATGATTATTACCGACTAATTGCTTCCATCTCCAACCAATTATATAGATTCCTTAAACACAACACAAAGGTTACTTGTTAATTTAATAAATTAATCTCTAGATCATGTGTTAAAGCACGATTAAATATTATGATATATTTTATTAGTTATTACGACTGAGTGCGTGTAATTCTTGTACTTGGAGTGTTTCGAGTTTAATTTTTCCAATATCTTCTTAGTCAAGCATGTTGTAAAGGGATTTTCTGGTGCCCAATTTACTTCTCTTTTGTAAACTATTATACAAAAATAAAGTTTATCTAGAACATACCCTCAGATAATGGTTGAGTATTTCCTCATCACAATCTATATCTATATCTATATCTATATCTATATCTTCTATATCTTTTATATATATATATAAAAGTAAAATCCTCCTAACAAATTCCCCCTCCCCCCCCCCCCCCCCAAAACTTTTGTAGTAAAACTTATTTGGTAAGTAAATGTCAAATGCAAAATAAATAAATAAATAAATAAATAAATAATAATAATAATAATGTTATTACCTTAAATAAATAAATTATTATACTTTCCCTTAAATAAATAAATTATTATACTTTCCTTTTGAATTAGTATTTTCTACCTATAAATACAAGGGTTTCTTCCATCAAAGAATCTCATACTCATCTCTCTGCTTTCTTTTTGTATGAATTTTTTACATTTTTCTAACTATATTCTCATGTACTTCAATATGTTTTGCAGTTTGGACATCATGAATAGCTTCATCAACGATATCTTCTTGAAGCTCGCCCAAGAGGTGACTCGCTTGGCCCACTACAACAAGAAGCCGATAATCACTTCCCGCGAGATTCAGACCGGCATGAGATTGTTCTTCGTGGCGAATTGGTAAAGCACGTTGTCTCTCTAAAAACACTAAAGCAGTCACCATATTTACAAGCTCTTAGATGAAATCATTTAAATCTATGTTTCCTTTTTATATAATCTCAATTTGGGGTTAATAGATGTAAAGTAACTTCGATTTGAGTTTAATTTCATATTATTCTTCCAAAAGGTTTAATTTCATATTATAAGTATTGTTATCTACCTTCAACTATAAATGAACCGATTAGCATTCTCAAAAAAAAAAAAAAAAATTGAATGTCTATATCTACGTGCATTTAAGATGCAACATGTGTATGATTCATTAGGCTTTGAGGCAGAAGTACACATCTGGGTACATTGCATATTAGTGGATCTGTATCTCATTGCAAAAAAATATCCATACAATTAATTAATTAATATAATTACAATTATCATTATTCTAATTCAAAAAAAAAAACTAAAGAATTAATTATAATAATGAAATTTGTTATTAATATTCTGTTACTAATTGACACAGAAATCAGACCAAAAGAAAAACGAAATTAATATTAAAAATGGACTGGAATTAAAAAAAATGTGCTTAATAAGTAAATAACTAATTTGCTACACAGAAAATTAGGGTAAAGGAAAAAGAAAATGATTATTAAACATTGTACCAGATTGTTTTATGATTGAAAATGAATATTACAAACGTACCAGATTGTTTTTATGACCAGAAATAAGAATGAATTTTACACACGAGAATCTATTATTAATATTTTGTTATACTAATAGGCATGGGAATCATGCCAAATGAAAAAAGGATTTAATATTAAAAATTTATTGGAAATATAACACAGTTTTCCCTACGAAAAAATTAGTAACCACCAAATGAAATATTAGGAAAAAATTATGAAGAAAAAAGAAATTGAAACAAATATTAACTCTTTCTATGAATGAAAAAAGGAAATGAATATATCCATATTTCACTTAAAATATAATCAGTAATTATATTATTATAATTATATTAATTATTTATGAAGAAAAAAGGAAATGAATATGAAAGAAAAAATAATAATATTTAGACACGAAAATCTATTATTAATATTCTGTTACTAATAGACACGGGAATTAGGCCAAATGAAAAAAAGAAGATTTAATATTAAAAATTTATTGAAAATATAATACCGCTTTCCCTACGAAAAAATTAGTTACCACCACATGAAATATTAGAAAAAATTATGAGGAAAAAAGAAATGGAAATGAATATTAACTCTTTCTATGAGTGAAAAAGGAATTGAATATATTCATATTTCAATTAAAATATAATCAGTAATTATATGATTATAGTTATTATAATTATATTAATTATTTATGAAGGAAAAATGAAATAAATATATTAATAGTTTTCTGGAAATATAATCAGTAATTATATTCTTATAATTATATTAATTTTTAATTATGTGGAAATGAATATTAATTCTTTTTATGAACGAGAAAGGAAATGAATATTTCACAAAGAAATCTGTTATTAATATCATGTTACTAATCGACATGGAAATCAGGCCAATTAATCGACAATTATTAGGAAAAATGAATAAAAATCAATATTAATTATTTTTATGAAGGAAAAAAAGAGAAATAAATATATTCAAAAGGAAATGAAATATGAAGAAAAACGAATGAATATGTTTATATTTCACTAAAAATATAACACAGCTTTTGGCACAGAAATCAGACCAAAAGAAAAAAGAAATTAATATTAAAAATGGACTCGAATTAAAAAAAAAAAGTGCTTAATAAGTAAATAACAAATTTGCTACACAAAAAATTAAGGTAAAGGAAAAAGGTAATGATTATTAAACACGTACCAAATTGTTTTTGTGATTGAAAATGAATATTACAAACGTACCAAATTGTTAAATAGGAATAAATTTTACACACGAAAATCTATTATTAATATTATGTTACTAATAGGCATGGGAATCATGCCAAATGAAAAAAGGATTTAATATTAAAAATTTATTGGAAATATAACACAATTTTCCCTTAAAAAAATTAGTAACCACCAAATGAAATATTAGGAAAAAATTATGAAGGAAAAAGAAATGGAAACAAATATTAACTCTTTCTATGAATGAAAAAGGAAATGAATATATCCATATTTCACTTAAAATATAATCAGTAATTATATTATTATAATTATATTAATTATTTATGAAGGAAAAAGGAAATGAATATGAACAGAAAAAAAAAAAAAAATTTTACACACGAGAATCTATTATTAATATTTTGTTACTAATAGACATAGGAATCAAGGCCAAATGAAAAAAAAAAGATTTAATATTAAAAATTTATTGAAAATATAACACCGCTTTCCCTACGAAAAAATTAGTAACCACCGCATGAAATATTACGATAAAATTATGAAGGAAAAAGAAATGGAAATGAATATTAACTCTTTCTATGAGTGAAAAAGGAAATGAATATACTCATATTTCATTTAAAATATAATCAATAATTATATGATTATAATTATTATACTTATATTAATTATTTATGAAGGAAAAATGAAATGAATATATTAATATTTTATTAAAAATATAATCAGTAATTATATTTTTATAATTATATTATTTTTTAATCAGAAAGGAAATGAATATTTCAAACAGAAATCTGTTATTAATATCCTAATCGACATGGAAATCAGGCCAATTAATCGACAATTATTTGGAAAAATGAATAGAAATCAATACTAATTCTTTTTATGAAGGAAAAAAAAAGAAATGAATATATTCAAAAGGAAATGAAATATTAAGAAAAACGAATGAATATGTTTATATTTTACTGAAAATATAACACAGCTTTTTAAATTTTTAAATATAAATCTATTAATACAAATTATAATGAATGAAATTATATTATAGAATTTTTATATATACATATTAATAAATATTATGTGTATATACAATGTATTATTCAATCATATAAGGATATGCGTCCAATTAGAGTTTATATTTATTCATACAAAATTTAGAATTTACATTTTTATTGATTTCTAAGTACAATTTTCTTAGTTATTATTATTCATATTTTTTAAATTATAATATATATGAAATACAATTTGGAATAAATCAATTTAATTTTATAAATTTTTTTCTATAAACTTATCTAAATATGTACATGATTAGAGATTATACTAACCATACAATATTTTAATTTTAATTTTGTATGTTATGAAAATAGATACTTGACCAAATATATAAAAGTCCAACTATATTATTATATTGTACATTTTAAAATCTTTTTATTTTTCTAATTTAATTTTAAATTCATAATAAAAAAAAATCTCGAGTAAAACACTATATTTAAAAAGATACAATTTGATAAATATTATAAATTAATTAATACAATATCATTTATGTTTATAATAATTAAAGAAAAAATAAATAATTCAAATATGTGAACCAATAATTTCAAAATGAAATTAATGTATAGTTACAAATAAATATAGCATGATTACATTTACTTTAATTAGTTTTAATTCCCTTAATGATATGACTTTTCTTTATCAGTTGTTTATGGGAGGCTAAGGGAGTGTTTGAGTTGGTGGAATTTTTATTTTTTTTTTTAAAATACTTACTAATAAAAAATAATTTAAAAATATTTTGTAACCCCTCATACCATTTGTAAATCTTATATT